CTGCTTCCATCTCATCCTGCCACTGACTTCTTGCATTTCTCTCAAAATGACATACTGCAATTGCACCCATTGTTACCATCTCCTATCAGAGTAAGCATTCTAAATCTAAGTACCACACTACTAAAATCCTTTAGGATAAAGTATTACACTACTTACCTTAATGTACAAAGCTCTTTAAGATTTATCCCTGCTTAACCCAAGAGCCTCTCTCCCACTCCACCCTATATGTGTCCCTTCCTAAAACCAAATTAATTCCCAGACCTAATGTTGCTTTTATGTTTGCAGCTTTAGCTTATGCTGTTTTCTACACCAGGAAGCACTTACCCCACCCAGTCTTAATTAACAGTTACTTCTTTTAGAAAGCTGTCCTTATATACCTAATCAGATAGCCACTCTTCTGGGTTCACAAATCACCCTGTACACTAATAGTACAGAATGCATTCATTGTTTTCCTTTATGAAATCATTTTTTATACTTCCTCTGTGCCAGGTATTGTCCAACTTCCTGTAGCCTAGCGGCAAATGAAACATTAGCACCTCACAAGATCATTAAGGGCAGGAACAATGTCTTTTTTGACCTTGTAAAAAGGGCCATTATCCTTACTCTTTATGTGTTGAATGGCTTTTTATCCTCCAGCACCCAGCTTATGTCACTGCATTTATTTTGTTACTATAATTTTTCAAATTAATCCTCAAAATAGATAAACATAGATCAGAAAATGGGGTTCAGTATAATTTACCCAAGATCACACACATCTAAGTCTCAAAATCAAGATTGAAGCTCTGTGCTGTCTAGTTGCAAAGAATAAATAAATTCAAATAAATAAATAAACTCAAGATTAGTAAATAAGTTATATAGCCACAAAGTGACCATTAATTTAAGCATTTCCTATACCACCCTTAAGGGGAAATTTGACCTTACAAACATTCTCTGTATTTATATTCAGAGCATTCTTCATCTCTCCTCCAGCAGTCAGATGATTTAAATATGGCCAACAGTAGCAATAAGGAACTGTTGATGTTTGTTCCAAGGCAATTTCCTTCAAGGCACATTCTTAAAATCTATCATTTAAAATTTACTATCACATCTAGGAAAACACCTGGCTCTGTCATAAAGTAGTATAAAATTATAGAATGTTCAGAATATATCATTAAAAATTAACAGAATCTATTCCTTACCTATTCCACACCACCACACACAGACACCCACATGCACACACCATTCATGCTTCATTTAGAATGTAAGGAAATTAATATACAGAGAGGAAAGTGATGTCCACATTTAGGTGTCTGGTTAGTAAGAATGGAGACTAAAACTCAATTTTTGAAATTTGGAGTCTAGCAAGTTTTTACTCAAGTGCAATGACCCCAGTTAAAGATTCCATTAATTTGGAGACATTATTTTACTTTTTGCTTGGTGCTTCCTATATTTTTCAACTTTTCTGCATTGAGCATGTCTGACTCCACCATCTATCTACATGATCATCAAAACCGCATCCTTTAAGTCAATTTTTAACCTAATTTTTGTTTTTTTGTTTTTTTGCGGTATGTGGGCCTCTCACTGTTGTGGTCTCTCCCATTGCGGAGCAACAGGCTCCGGACGCTCAGGCTCAGCAGCCATGGCTCACGGGCGCAGCCGCTCCGCGGCGTGAGGGATCTTCCCGGACTGCGACACGAACCCGTGTCCCCTGAATCGGCAGGCGGACTCTCAACCACTGCGCCACCAGGGAAGCCCTAACCTAATTTTTTTTTTTTTTAATAGACTTTTTTTTTTTTTTTTTCCTCCTTTTCCCTTTTTCCTTTCTGCGGCACGCGGGCCCCTCACTGCTGCGGCCTCTCGCGTTGTGGAGCACAGGCTCCAGACGCACAGGCTCAGCGGCCATGGCCCACGGGCCCAGCCGCTCCGCGGCACGTGGGATCCTCCCGGACCGGGGCACGAACCCGCGTCCCCTGCATCGGCAGGCAGACTCTCAACCACTGCGCCACCAGGGAAGCCCCCCTAACCTAATTTTTAAAAGGTGTTAAGACAGAATCTTTCTCATTCTATTTAAGGTTCCTTCTTTTTAACTGCACCCGAGCTGTCTCAGTATGATTTAGTCAACCTGTGAACCTGAAATTCAAAACAGCAGAAATGTTATCTTAATTAGAAAAAACATAAAATAAGTATTTATAAAATACCTATGATGTGATGGATGTATATAGATTTACATCAGTAATCATCAAGATATCTGAAGTTCTATAATTTATTAATTTCACTTTCCCCCTTATTCCCAGAGGATGTATGAACTCTAAGTGAAAATTAAAAGGAAAACCAAGTTGGAAATTAATATTTTATTAGGATGTCACTGACCATTGTGAAATGCAAGCATTGTTGAATAGCCCATTTCAACAAGCCGAAGGCCTCTACCCTGGTTTCCCCTCTGCCTGTGGGACATTATTTACTTAGTTACTTAGCCACTGACCACCTCCCCTCACTGCCCCAGGACTGTAGAGTTACAATTTTATTACAGTGTTTCTCAGAACTTTCAGTTCCACAATATTCTCTGGGTAAAAACTGAAATCTAAACAGTCACCAAAGTAACCGTTTCCAAGAAAACTGCTTCACAATCTAGATCCTATCAATTTGCTGTATAAAATTATTTTAAAATATATGAAGGAAAAAATATTGCCTGTACTCAGACATAGCTAAAATTAACTGAGCCACCCACCATTCTTTCAGATCATAACTAAAAGGAGCTTGTAATCAGATGTGGTAATATTTTCACCTTTACCTTCAGCATAGCAGCAGAATGGAATCAGAGAGATGTGAACTGTTATTTATCAGTTAGACTTTACATCAGATGACTTTTCTGAAGGCTGCAGTTTTTTGCCTGTGTGTATTGCAGCTGTGGGATAACTCTATCAAAGAAAACTTGGCAGGCCTTTTATTTCAGCCACTGCTAAAATAAAATAAAATGTCATCAATTAGCAGCTAATGCAATAGTTGAATCACTGTGTCTTTTAGAAAATTGAAATTATTTTCCTGCCTCTGTCTGCCTTATCTTCTCATAGAAACAAACAAATGTTCAACTGACATTTTACTAGCTAGAAATTGACAAACAGTGTTTTTCCAATTTCAAAAACATGGATTTAATTTCTGGTGTCTAGTTTCTTTCCCAGTGAAATGAGAATATTACTGATGAACTGTCAAATTAGCTAGGATATAATAAGCATGCAATAAATATTTGTTGAATGAATTAATTAATAATATCTATTATTTACTGAATTTAAACCAGATGCTAGCTGCTTTAGCATTATCATTCTTATTTTGCATGTGGGAAACCTAAGGTTAGAAAGTTACAGAAGTGGGATTCAAAGCCTGGGTTGTTTTCTACACTTTCTCCCTGCCTCTCCTATGGATATGATAAATACCAAAATTGAAAACTCATATTTGTGTAAGAATACACAAGACCATGGGGTTAAAAACACAAACTTAAGAGTCTTTTGGTTCTAATATGTATTTGCTGGGAGATCTTGAATAGATCTCCACTGATTCTCAGTTTCCTTTTTTGTAAGATAAGGCTAATAATAAGATCTATCTCATAAGTTTGTTATGAGAACTAAACTAGATTGATAATCTGTGAAATGTGCTTAGCACAGTGCCTGGTACCTAATAAGCCCAGCAGCAATATTAACTATGAAAACACACTCCTGGGTCTTTCTATAGCAACCTTCCTTAGTTGCCAATAGACTGGTCTGTTTCTTTTTAGATAGCCAGAAAGTAACGTGCATATATTGGCTAGTAAGACAGTCTCCTTTGTTATTAAAATAAAACACAGAGAAGTTTCCAAAATCATGGCTGAGACATATGCAGGAGGATAGGTCTTCCTCTTCTCCCTGAATCTTACTATACTGTAGGGTCACTGCTGCATATTTTACTTTGACCAATAAATAAATAAATAAATAGATAGGTAGGTAGGTAGGTAGATAGATAGATAGATAGACAAAACACTTTCCCTTAGTTTTCTCAACATGACTGAATCAAATTCACATTTTCAAAAGAAAGTTTCCTAAATACTAAGAGGGAACAGAAAAGAAAGAAAGCACAGATCCTTCAAACTCGTGTGTGTGTGTGTGTGTGTGTGTGTGGTTTACTTTTCTCAGAGCTAATATATTTGGTTTTATGAATTCACTTCTGTAATACACTTTTTGCCTTCTTCCTGTAATTATTTGTTTACAAAATTGGGTGTGTATTTTTGTAATGTACCTTAAATTCTTAATGGAAAAGAGAGGGCCTGTTCTAAAATAAACTATATGGAAGATAGATGATAGTGAGATAGATAGATAGATGATAGAAAGATACAGTTAGAAAATAAATAACTTTCCAGAATTTTTTAAACTCAGATAACTACTTCTGGGCCAAGTGAGATGACACCCTTTCCTGCCACCTTCCTCACTCCACCTGGTGGGCCCCATATTTTTCCCTATCACACATGAATGGCCTATTTGCTCTCTTCTTGTCCACTGCCATTTCCCAGGACTACAAGGGTTGTAGTGACTGATGTAATCAAAGCTTTCACCCTCTCTAGTTCAAGTCGCCATCTCTGTCTGCTTTAAAACCACTTTGTAATTAAACTGAACCTCCCTAAAAAGTGTTACCCATTACAGACTCAGGGTACCATTATACCTTGATATAAGATGCATTTTCACATGAGACACATATCTGCTTATCTATATCAGAGGGCAATTATATTATCAACGGAAGACTTTTTGATGCTTTCATTCATCTCCTATATCCTCCTCCATGCTTCATAAAAGGCACTCAGAGCCATTTCAGAAATACTTGTTAAATTGAGTTGAACTGAACTAGAAATACTTATATCCTTTTCTCAGGTATTAGATTTTTTATTGAAATATAGTTGATTTGTAATATGTTAGTTTCATGTATAGAGCAAAGTGATTCAGTTATATACACACACACATATGTGTGTATATTTTTTTTTCAGATTTTTTCCATTATAGATTATTACAAAATATTGAATAGAGTTCCCTGTGCTATATGGTAGGCTCTTGTTGTTTATCTATTTTATATGTAATAGTGTGTTTCTGTTAATCCCAAACTATTAATCTATCCCTCACACCCCTTCCCCTTTGGTAACCATAAGTTTGTTTTCTATGTCTGTTGAGTCTGTTTTGTAGATAAATTCATTTGTAGCATTTTTTCAGATTCCACATATAAATGATATAATATGATATTTGTCCTTCTCCATCTGACTTACTTCACTTAGTATGATAATCTCTGGGTCTATCCATGTTGCTGCATGCATTCATTCTTTTTATGGTTAAGTAATATTCCATAGTGTATATTTACCACATCTTCTTTATCCATTCATCTGTCGATGGACACTTAGGTTGCTTCCAGTCTTGGCTACTGTAAATAGAGCTATTATGAACACTGGGGTGCAAATGTCTTCAAATTAGAGTTTTCTCTAGATATATGTCCCAGAGTAGAATTGCTGGATCATACAGTAACTCTATTTTTAGTTTTTAAGGAACCTCCATACTGTTCTCCATAGTGGCTACACCAATTTACATTCCCACCAACAGTGTAAGAGGGTTCCTTTTTCTCCACACCCTTTCCAGCATTTATTATTTGTACTTTTTGAAGATGGCCATTCTGATTTGTGTGAGGTGATACCTCATTGTGATTTTGATTTGCATTTCTCTAATAATTAAAAATGTTGAGCATTTTTTCATGTGCCTTTTGGCCATCTGTATATCTTCTTTGGAAACATGTCTATTATGTTTGTTTAGGTCTTCTGCCCATTTTTTGATTGGGTTGTTTGTGGTTTTTTTGCTATTAAGCTGTATGAGCTGTTTGTATATTTTGGAAATTAAGTCCTTGTTGGTTGCATCATTTGCAAATATTTTCTCCCATTCTGTAGGTTGTCTTTTCATCTTATTTATGATTTCCTTTACTGCACAAAAGCTTTTAAGTTTGATTAGGTCCAATTTGTTTATTTTTGGTTTTATTTACTTTGCCTTGGGAGACCTATGAAACATTGTTCAATTTATGTCAGAGATTGTTTTGCTTATGTTCTCTTCTAGGAGTTTTATGGGATCATTTCTTATATTTAAGTCTTTAAGCCATTCTGAATTTATTTTTGTGTATGGTGTGTGGGGATATACTAACTTCATTGATTTATATGCAGCTGTCCAGCTTTTTCAAAACTACTTGCTGAAGAGACTGTCTTTTCTCCATTGTATATTCTTGCCTCCTTTGTCAAAGATTAACTGACTGTAGGTGTGTGGGTTTTTTTCTGGGCTCTCTATTATGTTCCATTGATCCATATGTCTGTTTTTGTGCCAAGACCATGCTGTTTTGGTTACTGTAGCTTTGTAGTACTGTCTGAAATCTGTGACGGTTATGCCTCCACCATTGTTCTTTTTCTTCAAGATTGCTTTTCAATTATGGGTCCTTTGTGGTTCCATATAAATTTTAGGATTATTCATTCTAGTTCTATGAAAAATGGCATGGCTAATTTGATAAGCATCACATTAAATCTGTATGTACTTTAGATAGTATGGTCATTTTAACAATGTTAATTCTTCCAATCCAAGAGCATGGGATATCCTTCCATTTCTTTGAATCATCTTCAATTTCCTTTATCATTGTTTTATAGTTCTTAGGATATAAGTCTTTCACCTCTGAGGTCAAGTTTATGCCTAGGTATTTTAAATTTTTTTGATGTGATTTTGAAAGTTTATTTTTTACACTTTTGCTTTCAGATATCTATTGCTAGTGTAAAGAAAGGCAACAGATTTCTGTATGTTAATCTTGCATCCTTCTACCTTGCTGAATCCTTTATCATATCTAGTAGTTTTTATGTGGAGTTTTTAGGATTTTTCTGTATATAGTATCTTGTCATCTGCATATAATGACAATTTTACCTCTTCCCTACCAATTTGGATACACTTTATTTCTTTTTCTTCTCTGATTGCTGTGGCTAGGACTTCCAATACTATGTTAAATAGAAGTGGTGAGAGTGGGCATCCTTGTCTTGCTCCAGATTTTAGCAAGAAGGCTTTCAGCTTTTCACCATTGAGTATTATGTTGGCTGTGGGTTTGTCATAAATAGCTTTTATTATGTTGATATATGTATCCTCTATACCCACTTTGGTGAGAATTTTTATCATGAGTGGATGGTGAATTTTGTCAAATGCTTTCTCTGTATCTATTGAGATGATCATGTGACCTTTGTCTTTTCTTTTGTTGATGTGGTGTCATGTATTAAATTTTGAATGACAGAATTTAACAGCTAAATTGGATCTTCCATCTGTTTCTAGCCATCACTTTATTAGAAATCATATTGATTACCAATTTATGTTACCATTGAAGAGCCAAAATGTATAATAAATGTATATATAATAATAATGTATATAATAATAAATGTATATAATAAATAAATAAATAATAAACAAACTGTCATATTGATTTTTATAGGGATTCAAGGATATTTCTCTTGAGAGGTTTATACATGGTGGAGCCAATGTTACAGGATTCCAGTTAGTAGATTTTAATACACCTATGGTAACCAAATTAATGGATCGCTGGAAGAAACTAGATCAGAGAGAATATCCAGGATCCGAGACACCTCCAAAGGTATTTGTTTGTTTTTATCTTATCTATTTTTAGAATTTTTAGTATTTTTTAAAATTTAAGGTAGAAAGCTCATTATGCAGTTTTCCTAGTAATATTTTGCCAGACACAATGTGGCATAGGGCAGAAATATTTTTTCACTATTTGTCACACAGCCCTTAATAACTTCTAAATTTCTATATTTAAGAGAGGAGTTGTTAGACATTAGTTCAAGTAGTTTACTATATTATATTATATATTATATTATATATATTATATTATGTTTTTATATTATTTTATGATTACTTTGTGTATGAATTTCCATGAAGAAATTGTATGCTTTTTAAAAAAATTTTGTTAACTAAATATTTCAAATGTGAACAACCACTGGTAGCTATTCCACCCAGATAAAAATATATTTGCAAAGTGATTTACAATGAGTAGGGAAATTGGGAAATTGGTAGAAATGTAAAATGTATAAGCTTCTGCAAAATTTCTCTTTCAAGTTAACAGTAAAATGTCAGATTTTTAAATTTTATGTGACAGACATTACAGAAGTATGTTATTGGTATCTACAAAGGAAGCTGGTAAATTTCTGATCATAAGCACATTTTTTTCTCTCCTGAAGAGATAGATGACTTCCTTAGATATCATGTAAATAATGGCATAATGTTTCTTAAACTCCAACTCCTACATGGTTTTGAATTCCTACATAAAAAGGAATCATCATTTCAACAATTTTTACTAATCTCTCACTGTGTATTCTAGTAAAAAGTTTTCAAATATAATTTGGAAATTCTAGCCTAGAAAACTATGATCTAGGGGTAGAGCAAGTCGGTTCTTCCATTTCCTAATTATAAAACTTTCTCTACTATCCATGTCAATTTCTTCTCTGTAATATAGGAATTTGGCTAGTCATAACATTTTCACTACTCTATAGAAGCATGGAATTTCAAAAGAAAGCATTTATTGAGTATCCACTATGCTCAAACACTGTAGTCCAACCCTCTGATTTTACAGATTAATAAATACAAGATATTAAATGGTATGTTAATTGGCTGTCCCTGAGTCAAGGACCAGGTTTGTGGAATGCCCAGGACCAAGTCATGGGTTCCCTGAGTCTTAGACAAGTGCATTGTCCACTATATTACACCACTTCTCATGCTTAGATAATACATATGAAAGCCTATTAAAAAGCCAAAAAATTTTCAAGATGTAAACCACCTTCAGGATTAAAAGAAACTTGAGAAGTCTTTTTTAGTCTTTTTGCCTTCAAGCTGGTTCAGAGAAAAATCATCCCAAAAGCTCAATTATATCAAGTATTAATACACAAGGAGAAAAGTGTAAAGCTTCCTTCTAAACTCATTGGGACAGTTTGCTTTACAGATATTCCCCTCATTCTGTCATCAATGTATGTAGAGACTCCCTTGCCCTTCTCTTCTCTATTTGTATTTCTTCCTTCCTCACATTTTTTTCTCAGCCATATTTTATCTCAGCATTTTTTCTGTAAACCATCTCTTCAAGTTCTTTTTACCCTTACAGTTTTAGTATGTAGAATGGGCTTCAAACTTCTTGGCAGTGTTTTGCAGCACCTTGTGACTTTTTTCATTTCAGTGATAATATGTAATAATATGTGTCCACTGTGGTCCTCCTGTCTGGACACACTGGTGTCGTTTGTCCTTCCCTATCTTGCCTTTAGCCTATCACAATGTTTACTATTTGATCTCTCCAACCAGACTTATCTATGTCAAAGCTTTGGGCACTTTGTTTTATAAATAAATACATATAATTTTCTCATCTTTCAGAGTTTTCTTAGCGTAATAGTAGGCACCCAGTGGCCATTTAATAAATAGATATAGCCAGTTCTTATTGTTCATGGTAGTCCCATTCTATAAAGTTGCCATGAACACTGAATGAGTGAATACTGAACACTTACTCCTAGGGGAAATTACAAGGTTAGGTCACTACATTTTTGTCAAACAATCAACACATAACACTTTGTTTTATCTGTGTTTCTGTTTAAAGATATCTTATTTAAAACATTGTCAATAAATTAACATTGAATTCATGGCCAATAGCAGTATAACTCAAGCCTGAACAAAGCTTATCTAACATGTATTTTTTTCCATAAGACACATCACAGCTTTCTTGTACTGAGGAGCACTAGACAGCCATCTTTTGGGCCATCTTTGTAGTCTTCACCATTCCTAGCCAGTATCTAGCTCTCAGATATGCTATGAAATTCAATCCTCACAAGTACCACAGAAGATAGTCATTATTTTATTTGATTTTGTTCTGCTTCATAGCTGAAAAATGTACAACATATTCCCATAAAACTATGAGTAGCAGAATTAGAATTCACCTAGTTCTCAAAACCTAAATTCTTGCCACTGTGCTGTGATTCTGCCAAACTCTATATTTTTATATACAAATGTTGATAAACAGAATTCATCCCACCATTCTAATCACTGGTTAAAGCAGTGAATAGCTCTAGGTCAAGACTTAGTTTTACTCTCCTCCAAAATGAAGAGTATGTTTAATAAGAATTTCTAGATACCATCTAGAAATGTGTGCCCATAAATATGGTTTCTTGGATTTCAGCACAATAAGACACATGGAAAAGAATGAAATCCTTTAAAATGGTAAAACCAGTTTAAACTACTGCTTCTTTCCATCTATCAGCTCTATGACCCGTCAAAAGCTTTTGCCACTCTGGCTGAATGTCTGCTTTTCTCTGCTCCACTCTATACGATATCTGTTCTCTTTTCTAGTTCACTTGTTTCATAAAAATGAATGGACTTTTTAAAACACAGCAAGTGCTTTTGCTTTTTTGGAGTCATATCTCTCAGCTTCTTTCTTCCTATTAGAAAAGCAACAATAGTTTTCTTTTCTTCTCCTTGATCCTAAAATGCTAGCATTGCATATTTTCTCTTGCCCTTTATATCTTTGATAAGTTCTACTTTATTACTTGTTTTTATTTTCTTGCCATCCAGAAAGATAATTTGATGGCTTTCTCTACTCAAAGGTATGTTGCTCCAGGCAGTGGAGGAGGTATGTCCATTTTTGGCTGAGTACCTTGGTTAAGTACCTTAATTTCCTTCGACCATCCCATTCCAAATATGAAGGTGTATGCTTATCATTAAACCTATTTTGTCATGTCCTTGAAGAATATATAGCAAGGCTTATAATTTATAAGTCACACATAAATCTTTCTGATGAAGCTTTAATTAGATTCTCTGACATTGAAAGATTCTTTGTTAGAATTTATATTCTTTATCTTATCCATGTTTTAGTCCTTCTCTTCCCAGGATCGCTGACTGCTATGCTTAGCAGGTATATTGCCTAAGTTTACTTTCTATGATTTAAATTTCAAACGATTTTTATTAATTTATAAGCAGCAATTCAGGATCATTTTCCACATTCCATAGCACAAAAGTACCTCTCGTATAGGCTTAGAATGTATTAATCACATAGAATTGACCATATGGAATTCCTGAAAGAGATAATGTATTTTTTTCTTATGACTAGCAGTTGATGCTCTGCCACACAAGAGAATTGTTCCATATGTTTCATATGTTTAGGTATTTTCTAATCAAACTTTACAAATGTTCCCTGTTCTTTTTATTTTCAGCTTAAACAAATCACATTTTCTTCTCAGATTTTCCTCATTTCCTCTCCTAACCTTAATAATCTTTTCCTGAGAGTTTTGTCTTTTCTCAAAGAGAAGCATGGGACAATCATCAGAAAGCAGATGATCTATACTTCATTTCTCCACTGTATCCTAAGTTATGATAAAAACTTAGAGAAATGACTTAACCTTCCTGAGCACACTCAACAGGCATGGACATAACAATACTTGTGCTTATTTAACCATGTGTATACACACTTGTTAAATAAATAGATGTTATTTCTGGCATTCTATATCTGAGTAACAGTAAACATTCCCACTCATTCTTCTGAGAAACTGGACAGAGTTATATACTCCAAGTCAATAAACATATATTAAATCTCAGGGACTCCTGATGGGCATTTGGAGGAGGAAAGAGTGAGACATTCCAGCCCTCCAGGGGTTCAAACACAGCAAGAGATTACGGCATTTAGTCTTTTTTTTTTTTTATACTTTAGCTGTTTCACTTGGACACAACAAAAAGACCACACCTAGAGGACTTGCTTCTCCCAACTGATGGAAAATTGTGCATTAGAATTTCTATTTTTCAGAGTGTGTTTTCTCCTTTTAAAACCACAGTGTTAAGAATTGATATACAGTCTTTGTAATAAAGTAATAATAGAAATTTCTGAAGCTAGAGGCAATTAATTATCAGTAATTTAACTGCCCTTCTGGCAGCATGGTACTTTATGTCATAAACAAACAGAGTCCCCAGACTAGTCCCCAATTCCGGTGATTGATAAGAATTTAACATTTACCATTATAATTACTTTCATTTTGTTAGTATACATCTGCTCTGACTTATGATGGAGTCCTTGTGATGGCTGAAACATTCCGAAGTCTTAGGAGACAGAAAATTGATATTTCCAGGAGAGGAAATGCTGGAGATTGTCTGGCAAATCCTGCTGCTCCATGGGGCCAGGGGATTGACATGGAGAGGACGCTAAAACAGGTAACTCACAATTTTATTTACATTCAATTTATTTCACAGTCATTTTTTAATGGCATATTCAAGAAAACAGAATAATCTATCTGTGAATAAATATATATTACAATTGTCATTTTATTATATTGAACCATTTTCATTTCTGAGACTTTTCTAAATAGGATACTGGATAGAATACTGATGTTTATATGATATGTAGATGCTTAGCCAGGATAAGTTGGTTATGCCACAGTAATAAACAACCCCAAGTCTCAGTGGCTTAAAACATCAAAAGAGTATTTCTCACTCACAATCACCAGATTAGTAGGGGCACTTTGTTTATTATAATCACTCAGGGATCCAAGCTGACATAGCAGCTACCATCTTGAATGCTACAAAGGGCAAAGAGTTGTGGGCAGTTTTCTAATTGGCAATTAAATGCTCTGGCACTCATCACATCTGTTTACAACTCATTTGTCAGAAAGAGTCACATAGACCTAGCTAACCAAAAAGGGTGCAAGAAGTACAAGCCTACATTGGGCCAAGAATGAGGAAGAACCTCAAACATTGGCAAACACTATTAATCTACTAATCTACTGACTACCTCAGTAGATCTTTATTTACTTTTTTTAACATCTTTATTGGGGTATAATTGCTTTCCAATAGTGTGATAGTTTCTGCTTTATAACAAAGTGAATCAGCTATACATATACATATATCCCCATATCTCCTCCCTCTTGCATCTCCCTCCCATCCTCCCTATCCCACTGCTTCATGTGGTCACAAAGCACCAAGCTGATCTCCCTGTGCTATGCAACTGTTTCCCACTAGCTATGTATTTTACATTTGATAGTGTATATATGTCCATGCTACTCTCTCACTTTGTCCCAGCTTACCCTTCCCCCTCCCTGTGTCTTCAAGTCCATTCTCTATGTCTACATCTTTATTCCTGTCCTACCCCTAGGTTCTTCAGAACCATTTGTTTTTTAGATTCCATATATATGCGTTAGCATATGGTACTTGTTATTCTCTTTCTGACTTACTTCACTCTGTATGACAGAATCTAGGTCCATCTACCTCACCACAAATAACTCAAATTCATTTCTTTTTATGGTTGAGTAATATTCCATTGTATATATGTGCCACATCTTCTTTATCCATTCATCTGTCGATGGACACTTAGGTTGCTTCCATGTCCTGGCTATTGTAAATAGTGCTGCAATAAACATTGTGGTACATCACTCTTTTTGAATTATGGTTTTCTCAGGGTATATGCCCAGTAGTGGGATTGCTGGGTAGTATGGTAGTTCTATTTTTAGTTTTTTGAGGAAATTCCATACTGTTCTCCATAGTGGCTGTGTCAATTTACTGTCCCACCAACAGTGCAGGAGGGTTCCCTTTTCACCACACCTTCTTCACCATTTATTGTTTGTAGGTTTTTTGATGATGGCCATTCTGATCGGTGTGACATGATACCTCATTGTAGTTTTGATTTGCATTTCTCTAATGATAAGTGATGTTGAGCATCCTTTCATATGTTTGTTGGCAATCTGTATATCTTCTTTGGAGAAATGTCTATTTATGTCTTCTGCCCATTTTTGGATTGAGTTCTTTGTTTTTTTCATATTGAGCTGCATGAGCTGCTTGTAAATTTTGGAGATTAATCCTTTGTCAGTTGCTTCGTTTGCAAATATTTTCTCCCATTCTGAGAGTTGTCTTTTCATCTTGTTTGTGGTTTCCTTTGCTGTGCAAAAGTTTTTAAGTTTCATTAGGCCCCATTTGTTTATTTTTATTTCCCTTTCTCTAGGAGGTGGGTCAAAACGGATCTTTCTGTGATTTATGTCATAGAGTGTTCTGCCTATGTTTTCCTCTAAGAGTTTTATACTGTCTGGCCTTACATTTAGGTCTTTAATCCATTTTGAGTTTATTTTTGTGTATGATGTTAAGAAGTGTTCTAATTTCATTCTTTTACATGTAGCTGTCCAGTTTTCCCAGAACCACTTATTGAAGAGACTGTCTTTTCTCCATTATATATTCTTGCCTCCTTTATCGAAGATAAGGTGACCATATGTGCGTGGGTTTACCTCTGGGCTTCTATCCTGTTCCATTGATCTATATTTCTGTTTCTGTGCCATTACCATACTGTCTTGATTACTATAGCTTTGTAGTATACTCTGAAGACCAGGAACATGATTCTTCCAGCTCTGTTCTTCTTTCTCAAGATTGCTTTGGCTATTCGGGGTCTTTTGTATTTCCATACAAATTGTGAAATTTTATGTTCTAGTTCTGTGACAAATGTCATTGGTACTTTGATAGGGATTACATTGAATCTGTAGATTACTTTGGGTAGTATAGCCACTTTCACAATGTTGATTCTTCCAGTCCAATAACAAGGTCTATCTCTCAATCTGTTTGCATCATTTTTAATTTCTTTCATCAGTGTCACATAGTTTTCTGCATACAGGTCTTTTGTCTCCCTAGGTAGGTTTATTCCTAGGTATTTTATTCTTTTTGTTGCAGTGGTAAATGACAGTATTTCCTTAATCTCTCTTTCAGACTTTTCATCATTAGTGTATAGGAATACAAGAGATTTCTGTGCATTAATTATTATTAATTAATTATTATTACTAGTAGTTTTCTGGTAGCATCTTTAGGATTCTCTATGTATAGTATCATGTTATCTGCAAACTGTGACAGCTTTATTTCTTCTTTTCCGATTTGGATTCCTTTTATTTCTTTATCTTCTCTGATTGCTGTGGCTAAAACTTCCAAAACTATGTTGAATAATAGGGGTGAGAGTGGACAACCTTGTCTTGTTCCTGATCTTAGAGGAAATGGTTTCAGTTTTTCACCATTGAGAACGATGTTGGCTGTGGGTTTGTCACATATGGCCTCTATTATGTTGAGGTAAGTTCCCTCTATGCCTACCTCCTGGAGAGTTTTTATCATAAATGGGTGTTGAATTTTGTCAAAAGCTTTTTCTGCATCTATTGAGATGATCATACGGTTTTTCTACTTCAATTTGTCAATATGGTATATCACATTGATTTATTTGTATATATTGAAGAATCCTTGCATTCCTAGACAAACCCCACTTGATCATGGTGTATGATCCTTTTCATGTGCTGTTGGATTCTGTTTGCTAGTATTTTGTTGAGGATTTTTGCATCTATGTTCATCAGTGATATTGGCCTGTAATTTTCTTTCTTTGTGATATCCTTGTCTGGTTTTGGTATCAGGGTGATGGTGGCCTCATAGAATGAGTTTGGGAGTATTCCTCCCTCTGCTATATTTTGGAAGAGTTTGAGAAGGATAGGTGTTAACTCTTCTCTAAATGTTTGATAGAATTCACCTGCGAAGCCATCTGGTCCTGGGCTTCTGTTTGTTGAAAGATTTTTAATCACAGTCTCAATTTCAGTGCTTGTGATAGGTCTGTTTATATTTTCTATTTCTTCCCAGTTCAATCTCGGAAGGTTGTGCTTTTCTAAGATATGTTCATTTCTTCCAAGTTGTCCATTTTATTGGCATATAGTTGCTTGTAGTAATATCTCATGATCCTTTGTTTTCCTGTAGTGTCAGTTGTTACTTCTCCTTTTTCAATTCTAATTCTATGAATTTGTGTCTTCTCTCTTTTTTTCTTGATGAGTCTGGCTAATGGTTTATCAATTTTGTTTATCTTTTCAAACAACCAGCTTTTAGTTTTATTGATCTTTGCTATCGTTTCCTTCATTTCTTTTCCATTTATTTCTGATCTGTTCTTTATGATTTCTTTCCCTCTGCTAACTTTGTGGTTTGCTTTGTTCTTTTTTCTCTAATTGCTTTAGGTGTAAGTTTAGGTTGTTTATTTGAAATGTTTCTTGTTTCTTGAGGTAGGATTATATTGGTGTAAACTTCCCTCTTAGAACTGCTTTTGCTGCATCCCATAGGTTTTGGGTCGTTGTGTTTTCACTTTCATTTGTTTCTAGGTATTTTTTGATTCCCTCTTTGTTTTCTTCAGTTATCACTTGGTTGTTTAGTAGTGTATTGTTTAACCTCCATGTATTTTTATTTTTTACAGATTTTTTCCTGTAATTGATATCTAGTCTCATAGTGTTGTTTCGGGAAAGATACTTGGTATGATTTCAATTTTCTTAAATTTACCAAGGCTTGATTTGTGACTTAAGATATGATCTACCCTGGAGAATGTTCCATGACCACTTGAAGAGAAAATGTAATCTGCTGTTTTCAAATGGAGTGACCTATAAATATCAATTAAATCTAACTGGTCTATTTTGTCACTTAAAGCTTTTATTTCCTTATTAATTTTCTGTGTGGGTGATCTGTCCATTGGTGTAAATGAGGTGTTAAAGTCCCCTACTATTATTGTGTTACTGTCGATTTTCTGTTTTGTAGCTGTTAGCATTTGCCTTATGTATTGAGGTACTCCTATGGTGGGTGCATATATATTTATAATTGTTATATCTTCTTGGATTAATCTCTTGCTCATTTTGTAGTGTCCTTCCTTGTCTCTTGTAACATTCTTTATTTTAAAGTCTATTTTATCTGATATGAGTATTGCTACCCCAACTTTCTTTTGATTTCCATTTGCATGGAATATCTTTTTCCATCCCCTCACTTTCAGTCTGTATGTGTCCCTAGGTCTGAAGTGGGTCTCTTGTAGACAGCATATATATGGGTCTTGTTTTTGTATCCATTCAGCCAGCCTATGTCTTTTGGTTGGAGCTTTTAATCCATTTACATTTAAGGTAGTTATCCATATATATGTTCCTATTACCATTTTCTCAATTGTTTTGAGTTTGTTATTGTAGGTCTTTTCCTTCTTTTGTGTTTCCTGCCTAGAGAAGTTCCTTTAGCATTTGTTGCAGAGCTGATTTGGTGGTGCTAAATTTTCTTAGCTTTTACTGGTCTGTAAAGATTTTAATTTCTCCATCAAACCTGAATGAGATCTTTGCTAGATAGAGTGATCTTGGTTGTAGGTTTTTCCCTTTCATCACTTTAAATATGTCTTGCCACTCTCTCTGGCTTGAAGAGTTTCTGCTGAAAGATCAGCTGTTACCTTTATGGGGATTCCTTTGTATGTTATTTGTCATTTTTCACTTGCTGCTTGTAATATTTTTTCTTTGTATTTAATTTTTTATAGTTTGATTAATATGTGTCTTGGCTTTTTCTCCTTGGATTTATCCTGTATGGGACTCTCTCTGCTTCCTGGACTTGATTGACTATTTCCTTTCCCATATTAGGGATGTTTTCAACTATAATCTCTTCAACTATTTTCTCAGTCCCTTTCTTTTTCAATTCTTCTTCTGGGACCCCTATAATTCGAAGGTTGGTGCATTAAATGTTGTCCCAAAGGTCTCTGAGACAATTGTTGTCCTCATTTCTTTTCATTCTTTTTTCTTTATTCTGCTCTGCAATAGTTATTTCCACTATTTTATCTTCCAGGTCACTTATCTGTTCTTCAGCCTCAGTTATTCTGCTATTGTTTGCTTCTAGAGAATTTTTAATTTCATTTATTGTTTTGTTCATCATTGTTTGTTTGCTTTTTAGTTCTTCTAGGTCCTTGTTAAACGTTTCTTGTGTTTTCTCTCTTCTATTTCCAAGATTTTGGATCATCTTTACTATCATTATTCTGAATTCCTTTTCAGGTAGACTGCCTATTTCCTCTTCATTAGTTAGATCTGGTTGGTTTTTGCCTTGCTCCTTCATCTGCTGTGCTGTTTTCTGTCTTCTCATTTTGCTTAACTTACTGTGTTTGGGTTCTCCTTTTCACAGGCTGCAGGTTCATAGTTCCCATAGTTTTTGGTGTCCTTTCCCAGTGGGTGAGGTTGGTTCAGTGGGCTGTGTAGGCTTCCTGGTAGAGTGGACTGCTGCCTGTGTTCTGGTAGATGAGGTTGGATCTTGTCTTTCAGGTGGGCAAGTCTCCTTCCGGTTGTTTGTTGTAGGGTGTCTGTGACCTTATGATTTTAGGCAGCCTCTCTGCTAATAGGTGGTGTGGTGTTCCTGTCTTGCTACTTGTTTGGCATAGGGTGTCCAGCACTGTAGCTTGCTGGTCGTTGAGGGGAGCTGTGTCTTAGCATTGAGATGGAGATCTCTGGGAGAACTTTTGCTGTTTGATATTACATGGAGCTGGGAGGTCTCTGGTGGACCAATGTCCTGAATTCGGCTCTCCCATCTCAGAGCCACAGGCCTGACACCCAGCCAGAGCACAAATATCCTGTCAGCTATATGGCTCAGAAGAAAAGGGAGAAAAAAAGAAAGAAAGAAGGAAAAATATAAAATAATGTTATTAAAATAAAATTTAAAAAATTATTAAAAATTCAAAAGTAATAATAAAGAAAGAGAGAGCAACCAAACCAAAAAAAAAATCCACTAATTATAACAAATGCTAAAAACTGTACAAAAAAAAAAAAAGGGACAGACAGAACCCTAGGACAAATGGTAAAATCAAAGCTCTACAGACAAAATCACACACAGAACTATACTCATACACACTCACAAAAAGAGAAAAAGGAAATATATATATATATATATATATATATATATATATATATATATAAAAGAGGAAGAGAGCAACCATTAAAAAATAAGAGGAAGAGATCAACCAAATCAATAAACAAATCTACCAATGATAATAAACTCTAAATACTAAACTAAGATAAACAGAAGACCAGAAACAAATTAGATGCAGAAAGCAAACCCCAAGTCTGCAGTTGCTCCCAAAGTCCACCACCTCAACTTTGGGAATACTTGTTGTCTATTCAGGTATTCCAGAGATGCAGGGTACATCAAATTGATTATGGAGATATAATCCGCTGCTCCTGAGGCTGTTGGGTGAAATTTCCTTTTCTCTTCTTTGTTTGCACAGCTCCTGGGGTTCAGCTTTGGATTTGGCCCTGCCTCTGCGTGTAGGTCACCAGAGGGAGTCTGTTCTTTGCTCAGACAGGATGGGGTTAAAGAAGCAGCTGACTGGGGGCTCTGGCTCACTCAGGCTGGGTGGAGGGAGGGGTACGGAATGCGGGGCCAGCCTGCAGTGGCAGAGGCCGGCATGACAGTCTGAGGTGTGCCATGTGTTCTCCTGGGGAAGTTGTCCCTGGATCATGGGACCCCGGAATTGGTGAGCTGAACAGGCTCCAGGAGGGAAGATGTGGATAGTGACCTGTGCTTGCACACAGGCTTCTTGTTGGTTGCTGCAGAAGCCTTAGCATTTCATGCCCATCTCTGGTGTCTGCTCTGATAGCTGTGGCTCGCGCCCATCTCTGGAGCTTGTTTAGGCAGTGTTCTGAATCCCCTCTCCTTGTGCACCCTGAAACAATGTTCTCTTGCCTCTTAGGCAGTTCCAGACATTTTCCCAGACTCCCTCCAGCTAGCTGTGGTGCACTAGCCCCCTTCAGGCTGTGTTCACGCAACCAACCCCAGTCCTCTCCCTGGGATCTGGCCTCCAAAGCCAGATCCTCAGCTCCCAGACCCCACCCCCCCCTGGTAGGTGAGCAGACAGGCCTCTCAGGTTGGAGAGTGCTGGTCGGCACTGATCCTCTGTGTGGGAATCTCTCTGCTTTGCCCTCTGCACTCCTGTTGCTGTGCTCTCCTCCATGGCTCCGAAGTTTCCACCCAACCACCCACCATCTCCGACAGTGAAGGGGCTTCCTGGTGTGTGGAAAGTTTTCCTCCTTCATGGCTCCCTCCCAGAGGTGCAGGTCCTGTCCCTATTCTTTTGTCTCTGTTTTTTCCTTTTTCTTTTGTCCTACCCAGTTACATGGGGGAGTTTCTTGCCTTTGGGAAGTCTGAGGTCTTCTGCCAGCATTCAGTAGGTGTTCTGTAGGAGTTATTCCACATGTAGATGTATTTCTAATGTATTTGTGGGGAGAAAGTTGATCTCCACGTCTTACTCCTCCACCATCTTGAAGGTCTCTTCTCAGTAGATCTTTAAATTGCCTGTAACCTTGGATTGTTTGTTTACTTTAGTCTTTTATAGTTAATACTAACACCATTTTTCAAGTGATTAATGTGATATGTCTGTATTTTTAGTATTACATCTTAAATGTTCTGAAATGCCATGGATTCAGAACGTAAGTTAAGTATAAATGAATTAAAGGAAATTTGGAATAAAGTACACTTGAATATTTTCAAAAATATGTTTATTTTTCTGGATTTCTTATATCTTAATTTTAATATTAATGAGGAGAAATATGATCCGATGTGGTTATCAGGGCTATTTAATCTGTTATGTGTATATGCAGATAAAACAGAAAAGTAACTATAAAACAAACCATATTTCCATTCCTATAAACAATTTTGAGGGAGTATTCTGTTAGTTACAATGGGAACTTCATAATAAAAAATAAATAAATAAAACATGTTCATCTCCCAAACACATAACAGAATTGCTTATATATTACTTTGATATTCCTCTTTCAGATTCTATCCCAGTAGCTCAAATATCCCATGGTTTTTTAGTGAGTTGCTTATAATTTATAGTTCCATACCCATGTGTAGTCATAAGTCTAGCAGATGAAGTCAAGATTTCTGTAATTAAAATGGCAAGTGATTACATGTGTGGATTTTCTTTTTCATTCATAGGTTCAAATTCAAGGGCTGACAGGAAATGTTCAGTTTGACCACTATGGACGTAGGGTCAATTACACAATGGATGTGTTTGAGCTAAAGAGCACAGGACCTAGAAAGGTGAGCCACACTTCAACTGTTTTCTTAGTTTTCATTTGACATTTTTAAAGCCTTATAGGTGAAAGGTAGCTGGATAGTCTACATTTTTTAAAAATTGTGAATATGGTTGACCCTTGAACAAAGTGGGAGCTAGGGGCTCTGACCCTCCACACAGTCAAAAATCCAGGTCTAAATTTTAGTGGGCCCTCCATATATGTGGTTCCTCCATAGCTGCAGTTCCACATCCGAGGATTCAACCAACCACAGATTGTATAGTACTGTAGTATTTACTATGAAACGAATCCGTGTAAAAGTGGACCTGAGCAGTTCAAACCTGTGTTGATTAAGGGTCAACTACACTTACAAATAATACTTTCTTGATAATTCATGCTGAAATAAATTCTTGTGTCCTATGACTGATATTTAGTGGTGTACCAAAGCTGAAATGAACTAATTTACATGTTGTTTACATCCTTTATCCAAAATAGAAGCAATATTTTTAAAGGCTTAGCAAAAAAATCCCACAGAACCCATAATGTACTCTTCAGGAAAGCACACAATGTAGGTAAGAGACTTACTCACTTCCATGTGGTCATTTATGAAACTATTAGAGAGAGAACAAAGAAGACTACTTCTAAAGGGCATATTTAGAACAAGCTAAATGTTCCTGAAATAAGCAAGTAAACATTCAAATGAGCAAAGAAAAGAGGAGATGGAAGATAATATTGTTAAGATTATTGTTAGGTTGAAGAGGGAGAGAAACACCTAAGAACATCAACTGAGGAGCCAGGGAGGTTGTTTAGGAAGCTGATGATGAAAGACTTTTGGATTTCAGAAAGTAACTCTGCAAGTCTTCTTATGATGTGACTAAGCATAGTTTTCCCAATGTCCAAAAAGTACTTTATATAATGGAACAATATAATTCCACCACAGCAATTGGCTATAAACATTTTATACTTAACACATATAATTTTTTAACATTCTTTTCTCTAGCATTAGCTAGGATGCTCAAGGAAAGACATGCTCAACTTACATTATCTAAAAACTATTTGTTTCAACACTTGGCTGTTTAAAAAAACTTTCCCAAATATACTTTCCTTTGTTAGTATAATAATGATAGTTACAATTTATGAAATGCCTGCTATGTCCCAACCACTGGACTTGGTGTAATTTAATCCTCACAATAAGCCTGTAACAGAGTACAATTATCTCCTTTTTTCTAGTGAGAAAGTTACAGTGCAATAGGCTATGGTTACTTGTCTAAGGCCTACAAGTGAGAAAACAAAGATTTTTAATTCAGATATGTCTGACTCCAGAACCCTTCTACCTAGTACCCTGCCTGAGTAGACTCTGCTGTAAAGGAGTTTATTTTCTAGTAGCATAGAATATAGTAAGTTCCATACGACAGTTAAAGAGAAAGCATGTGGAAAGTCTAAAGAGGAAGAGATCACTTCCAGCTGGAGGAAAACAAATCAAAGAAGGCTGCATGGTGGAGATTTAAAGTTAGTCATGAAGTTAGTTTGGATAGGTAGAAATGGTAGAGGCAAGAACCTGAGGATAGGCTGGATGCAGGATAATTAAAGTCATACATGGAAGATGGCAAAGACTTTCCAAGCTGTGTTTTGCTCCAGTCTGTCATAGCATGTGCTTCTGCATATGTGTGAGGAGAGATTTGGAGCTGCCATGCAAACCACCTCTAGCTTTTCAGCCTTTTAGTGGCATCTCCTTTAGTGCAGGCTGCCAGCTAATATAGGGTAAGCAGGAGCCTATCTGATCCAGATCAAGTAAGGGCAAGAGATGGAATGACAGCTTGAAAGCCAAGCTGTATGATGGGCTCTTTTAAGGGTACTACCCGAAGAAAGGGACTGACATGCTCCCAAGAAGAAAGTTAGGAGGTTCCGTGTAAACACCAATTTCACCCACTCTGTCAGCACGCAACCAGCAACAAGAAACAAAGAAGCCCATTTTAAGCAAAGTCCCTCTGCTAGCTGTGGAGCAGACAGAATATTCCATAAGTCCTTAAAATCATTGGCTAACTGGTGACCAGCCTGCCACAAACCAGACTCTGCAAAATTAGCCATTTAAGTAGAACCTTTCTAAAATGCAAAAGACAATTCCATATTTCACAAAACAGTAAGTACAAAAAGTAAAATGATCTCTTTATAAAAGAAAGAATAATGGAAAAAGGAAGCTGGTGGTAACTAGTGGTAACATCAAGTGGGCTACTTACGGCACTGAATCTTTTCATGGCCTATTGAAACATGATGGTAACAAAAATTAAGGTTTTTAGAGGAGAAAGTTAAAGAGTAAGTTGGAAAAGTGAGGAACGGTACATCTTCACACTCAGCTGACATTTGTCTAAGACTCTTAAAAGAAATATGAAATGTGAAATGGTGTAGACTCATCCATCTTTGTTTTTCTTGGGCACTCTGTCAGGAATATTAAACTTAAAAATGAACTACCATGAGAAACACTCTGCTGGTGAGACTTGGCAATATGTCTGAAAAGCGAGCAACCATTCTTTTAAATTGAACACTTGCCAGTAAGAGAGCTATCTTTGAAAATAGATCAGAGAGTTAACCCATCAGTTTGTCTGACTTCCGTAACAGGGAAAGTGAGTGAGAGTCTCATTAAGCAGAAGCCACAAAGCTCTTTCTGAAGTCTCAGCTCCTAAGTATGGTGGAATCTTCTTGCCATTCCAGTGATCTCTCAAGAATGCTCTAAAACCAGGCTTGCGTGGTTTCAGGAATTCTTAATCATAAAAATTGTATTTACTGAGAGCAGGTTATACACCAGACACAGTAAAGGGAAACTGATGTGCATTTTAATATTTAATCCTTACAGCAACCTGAAAGTAACATGTATTTTTCTCATTTTATAGAAGAGAAAAGTAAGGCTCAGAGAAACTAAGTAACCTGCTCAGGGATGTTAAACTAGAAAGAGATGGAGCTGGGGTGGAGACTAAGGCTCATCTAGCTTCAAAGCTATTCTCGTAACTGTTACAAAATATCATCAGTCCCAGGGCCCATAACTTTTCCCTTGAGGGTTGGTATGAGAACTAAGCCATATCTTTCAGGACAGGTCTGGTCAAACCAGCTCTCCCAGGAACCAACTTTGAGTAGAACAGAGGCTTCTCATAGCCCCTCCATCTCTACATAATCCCTACATTGCAGGCAAAGTCCACCATAAATATGGAGATATTTACTCATATATTATATTATGGTTATATTTGTGCACAATTCACCTTTAGGAATCCAAAGAAGACAAATACTTCTCTGACATTTCCTGCCAGTTAGCAATTTAAATGCTTCCATGTTTTTGCTTTAACATTACAAAATTATTTTTCACCGAATTTCTGTCTCTAGGAAAAAAGTGCCTCTTTCCCTGTCTAATTAAATGAGATCAGGCATGGGAAGTGTCCCTAGTAAATTGTAAAATGTTGTGAAAAATTGGAGAGAAAAACTCTATCTCATATGAAGTTCTAGGTATAAACTTTAATATTCCTTTCTTTAAAAAGTGACCCTTATATCACTGTTCACCCCATACTGTCCTACTTCCCAAAAAGTCCATGACCCACATGAGATCTATGCACAAACCATGACTCCATACACAAACCATGGTCTTCTTTTTCACCAGAATTTCAAGTAGATATAAGGCAAATAGATACAGTTGGGTAAAATTTTGCCTATTATTTTAATTTGCCAGTACTTCTAAATCATTTATCTTTGGGTGGGGGGAGATAGTCATGAACACACAGGTTGTTCTTAACTGCAAAATGTCAAGGTCTTGTCAACATCCGAAGACTCTCCAGAATGTGTCCCAGATCTGTAGTTTTTCTGTTGTGGGAACTCATTAATAAAGAAAAAATGCTTTCCCAGAAAATGGGCTGCTGAGATCTGGAAGGTGGCTGCATCGTAACGGAGTACTAAACTGTGAAACCTATTTTTATGTTGTATAACTGTCATGTGGAAAGGAAAACTAACAGGGAGCAACTATGTTTTTTAAGTTATTTTTTAAGTACATGTAGGATTTGAAGAGAGGATAGGTCTCAAAGTCATACTTGTTTTGTTTTAATTAAATTTTTCACTGACTCATTAAATAAATATTAGCTATAAATAAATTCAAATGCGCAATTGAAAATAATTGCTGAATTGATTTATACTCATAATTTTGGATCAAACTAAGCAATATAGCAAACCATATTAATGAAAATTCTTTTTTATGTCTATTCTGTTATTGAATATTTGTGAATAATATACTGTCTCTTTCTGATATGCTAATGCTTACTTTATTTTAAAATGTTCACAAATACTAACATGAAAGTTAAGAACTTGGAGGAAGCAAGAGAGACTTTCAAAACATATTGGGACAAATAGTGATTACAGACCAGTGAGCAATTACATACATTTTATTGGAAATATGAGTTTTATCAACTGCAGCCAGAAATTCAAGAAAGAAGTTTGGCAAGCATTAAACGAACACCCATTTTGGGAGTTTATGTAGCATAATAGCAAAGTATATGGACTGGTAATTGCACCTACCTTTACATTTGCTATGTGTGTAAACTTTAAGATGCATATATTTTTTAAACAGTATTCATTACAGTGTCTGCCAGAGAGCAAGCAGGCAAGAAGTGGTAGCCATTAGTATTACTTAGTGGTCTGCATGATAAAAAGAACCTTAAATTTCCTTTAGGACCCCATTTATTTACTTTGTAAAGTGTTTAACTAATTACTTCATATATTTTATGGAAAGGAGTTTGTTCCACATCTAAATGAGAAGTAATATAAGGATTTAAAGTGAAAAAATTAAAAAATTTCAAAAGTGAAAATGTTAAGTAATCATTAATATTAACATCTGATGTATTTAGCATTTAAAAATGGTGAGACTAGTGGCTAGGTTATGTGAAACCAAAAACTATTTCCATATTGCTTTAAAAATACACAAGTCTTTTTTCTTGAAAACATCTTGTATGTGTACCCTATGTAAATCTGACTCTTCCCTTTACCATAAAACCTGTAACATTATTGATAAAATCATGTAAATTAGTTACAGAAGGTGCCAATCAATCTCACTACAAGAGGATCAACACAAATGGTATTCCATCTGTATCCACCTTCTTTTTTGAACTCATCCATTCTCAATGTCTTGGCTACTCCATGATTGTAAATTGCAAATTTGCCAAATGTATAACTAGGCAGTATCATTAGCATCAGGAAAACTGGCTCATTATCAATTAAGAAAACTTCCAAACACATTACTGTGTGCTTTATAAATTTGTTTTGTTTGCTTACTTATTAATACCTCTCATTGCTCTGATAAGAACTAAAGAAAACTCTTCTAAAATGTGTTTTCAGTAATTTTCTGTATTTGGCAGGTTGGGTACTGGAATGATATGGATAAATTAGTCTTAATTCAAGATATGCCCACTCTTGGCAATGACACAGCAGCTATTGAGAACAGAACAGTGGTTGTAACCACTATTATGGTAAGTTTTGGTCTGTGCTTTATGATGTTCCATTTTGTCCACAGGCAATTTTAATTCCCCAGCTACAGTGAACAGGGAGGATGAAAGCTGCATCTTAGTGATGGTGGCATGGGTGTTCTGATCCACAAAAGTCTATCGAGGCTTTGAATAAGTTTGTCTTGAACTTTGAGTACATTTAGTACTTTTATTTGTATTATCTTTTGTTGCATTACTGTTCTTGGAAAAATGCTCAGGTGTTAAAAATTGAAGCTCTCTAGTTGGAAATGTATGAAATGCTAAGATTTCAAAGGACAAATAAACATGAAAAAGATCAACAACTAATCACATAAAAATATCCATTAGTAAACATCATATCATTGTTGTTATTATGTTTTTAAAACACCAATGTAATAATCGTTAATAGTGTTTAAAATTATAATTTTCAGGTACTTTATCCATTTAATAATGATTTGCATTGTCTGTTTATAATAGTGGAGGTATGAATGTGAAGATTTTAATGAGTATGCTTTACACAACTATGCTTTAGAAATAAATTTATTTTATATTTAATTTTAATGCAAAAAGGGGTTTTTATACCGATTATTTTTCTCATTGACCTGTGACAAATACACAATAAAATGTACTGGAATTCTCCTAGGAATTAAGAAAAATGATATTCATTCAGTCACATCATAAAATGAAAAATACTCTAAATTTTAAGGCTGCTTTTTCAAAGAGATTCTCGTGAACTTATCTTTTAAATAATATGATGCCTCATATTTTTCTCTTCTAAATTCAAACATGCTTTTTAGAGTCAATGCTAGTCAAAGGAGATCAACAATCGGTAACCTTTTCTATCTAATTTAAAGTTGTATATCCTCAGCTCACTGTCTCGTTAGGCAGAACACATTTTTAACTACTTTTGAAGCCCTTACTCTAAATAAAGTGGAAGTATTTTATGTAATTTAGTTTTTAGCTTGTGTAATTTTAATTTTATGCTTTTAGTAATGTCAAGTTATTTCCAAAATTTTGACATGGAGGTCAAAGCATGAAAATGCCAGAGAAAAGCTTTCATAATGTTGCAGTTAATTTTATCAGTGTTGCATCACCAGCTAGAAACTTAATGTTAATCTGCCAAGACTTAGTTGGAAGTTTATAATTTTAGAATGCAAACCAACCAACAGCAGTTTTTGTGTAAGGATGCAAAATATATATCTTCTAACTTAATTGTGTAATATTTGCATGGGACTTAAATATATATATGTATGTATATATATAATATACATATATATATACATTCCTAAAAAAGACAGTAATGGAAAGTCATACTTCAGTTCAGTCCTCCTCTTTTCAGCCTCTGATGAAGAATCCTATTTTAAGGAATTGATCAAGAAAGAAATGAGCTCCACGCTGTTCGACCATTCCTAACTAAAGCTCAAGTCTTTTTCTCCTGTGTAGTAAATTTAAGCTAATTTTTCATGTGGGATTCTTCTTGGATGACCAACTCTGGACAACCAGAAAAAAAAGTTTTTAAGTTCTGTGACTTTCCTGAGATACTAAAACAAAAGAAGAATTAATCCTCATCTTTTTCAAGAAAATAGATGTTGAAAAAGAGTCGCTTAATTCTGATGTATCCATTCCCATATCTGGAAATGAGGTCATTGTATGTAAATGATGGAATTATCATACTTCTAATTCCAAGCGTAGATTTTCTAAAAGTAAATATCTGTGAATTTGTGTCCTTCTTTTCTGAATACACGTAGTTGTTTTCTTTAAAGATTTTTTGAAATTTTGCCTGTTATATGTGAAATAAAGTGTTTTAATGTGCATTATAAATATAATGTAGAGAATCTCCTTTTTTTCTGTTATTAAAGGAGCTGGAGATATAATTCTTAAAACCAAAATATTGAATTAGTTTTGCAAGCATGGCTGTTTTTCAGGAAGCATGCTGTCAAAAAATAAGTACAAATTACTGAAGAATCCAATTGTTTCCTATATACATAACGACTATTCTGTAAAGTTATCTGTTCTTTGACAGTGATATCACCAATATTTTTGCAATCAAAATAGTGCAATACTAGTATCTGTCTTTTATATAAAAATGTAGTCTCCATATAAATAATGCCTCTGACCTTTGCAACTTCAATAATTCAAAAAAAAAAAAACTAGAATCCTTCCTTATATTTGCTTTTGTTGAAAATGATATTCCAGGACCTATGACATCTCCATCATCTCATTCATTTTGAAAGAAATATTCTTCCTTATAAATGAATGAGATATTGGCACCAGTGTATAATAACCCCTCAAATTCAGTTGAAAACTTCCAACAGCAATGGAATTGGTTAGATATTAAACTATGTGCAAGACAGATATCTAGACACAAAAGAAGGCTGAGAGTGTTGTGGCACTGGAACTCACTCATTTTGATCGAAATTGATATGGCCTTGCTGTTCTCCCATTTGTTTTTCCTTTGTGTATATTGTTATTTACATGTTGATACACTGTAATAGTATATGATACTGTTAAATAAAGTTGATTGAGAAATTCATTTATTCATTCATAAATATTTATTAAGCGTCTGCTATTTGCTAGGCACAGTTATAAGCCCGGGGATATGTTAGCCAACAAAACAGACAAAAATCCTGCACTCTCAATTGAACTTTCATTCTAGTGAGAGAAAGCAGACAAGAAACATGATAAGTATAGTAGATATCATTCTTAAATAAAAAGTGTCTTTAGCTTTTTGAATTTCTGAAATCTATTTGTTTTATATCTACATGTGATCTTCATTTTAATGACTAATGTATTCTTCCTGAATATAGTCATACTGAATATAACTTAACTAAATCTAAATAAAAGTAAAATTGACAATATCATCACATGAGAATCATGACTACAAAGTTGAAGGGTCTAAAGTTCTAGATTCAGATGCTCATCATTTTTTCTAAGTCTTAGTGACTAAAAATTTGCAAAATTTATGAGACTGTAACCATACAGTGGTTTAACATTTTACATTCAAAATAAACAACCTAAGGAAGCCAAATCTGTGCCATGTGGTTTGGGTAAGTGCAGCAATTGAGGAAAAGGCAGTTTGCAGTAGACGTCGTAGTGGTGATTTCGTCTGTAATCTCACTACTTTGGCTGAACTCTCTGGAAAAAGAGAGATGATGCAGTTATATTTCAGCCAAGCCCATTTTTCCCCAAATCTTTACCACTGAAGGTAAAGAGGTTGATGATGCATTACTAAAGTAAGAATGTACTTCTTGCCATCATAGGAACATAACAATCCTTTTGGAAATTTTTGCATAAAATCCAAATTTATTCACCGTAGACTCAGAATTACATTATAAACCTTAAAGCAATTTTACTTATACCACTTAGTCCTTCCAGGAATATTTTTTATACTTTTTATGTGTTGTTTGATATTTTATCTCTTCTATGTAGAATTTTGTAAATGCACTATACATAGATGCATGTGTGTATACAATACACACATGCATATTTATATACACATATATGTATATACCGATACAGAAAATACAGATATTTTTATTTTCTTCCTTGTACCAGAGGAATATTTTTTATACATTTTATGAGTTGTTTGATATTTTATCTCTTCTATGTAGAATTTTGTAAATGCAGTATACATAGATGCATGTGTGTATACAATATACACATGCATATTTATATACACATATATGTATATACCGATACAGAAAATAGATACTTTTATTTTCTTCCTGTACCAGATATTAATCTTCCCCATACATACACCTGTCTCCAAAAAGCTTATAATTCAATGTTTTTAAATGTTATTTTTAATAAGTTTAAAACTGTGCCACCATTAAATTTACTCATTTTTTATGTATTGAATAATAACATTTTAATATTCACTTTTAAGAATTTTACACATGGGATAAATTATCTACATTGAGATCTTTGGAGAAAAACAAATATCCACATAGCAAATAACCTTTGTTGATGCTACTGATTTTATTATTTTAACTGTTTTCAAGTAGCAATTTTAATGATTATATTTGTGATGTTTAGAAAATCTTAAAGCTTTTCTAATAAATATATATATTTCAATAGTTTTACTTTTGCTAAATACAAACAAGAATTTCCTCAATAGGAAAATGATACTTTACTGATTGAAAATCATCTTAATTCATTTACACAAACATTTTCATAAGCAAACCCTAATGTAGTAGTTTTAAACGGAGATTGATTTCTTTCCTGAAATTGCAGAGCAGATGTAGAACACTATGCATTATGGAAATTGTGGTAATAAACTCATAGTCACTAAGAAGTAGTGCATTTCAAATAACTTCTAAGGAATTATTGTCCCACAGAACAAAGTAGTTGATAACAAAGATGGTAGGTTATATTCCATTTTTATTCACAGTTGAACACTTGGGGCTCCATAAGGTTGCGTAACAAAAGCGGCCCACAAATACCCCTTAATGATTGGCTATAACTCGTTTTTTATTATATTGAAAAGATTTGGTATTTTCTTCACCTGTAGTAGCCCCCAAACTTTGTATTGAATCTCCTCAAGTATGCAGTGTTTGAAGGGCTACTTGGGGATAAATTATCAGATTCAAGATGGGGCAAATGAAGAGGTTGGGAAAGTGTTGAGGATTTGCTGCTAATTTGGATTTGATGTGGAAGAAAAGGAAAATGTGACACACTCAAAGAAATTGGGAAGAGCTGAGCAACTGTGAGAGGTTTCCTGCAAGAAATGCCTAGCAATTCTCTCCCTTTGTTCTTCCATCTTCCTGAGTGTGATCATCTTATTTCTCTTAATTTCCATGCACCAATATCTGAATATCAACAATTATGCATGCCCTTGTTTGTGCAAAAAGCCTAGCTAAATTTCTAATCAACATCTTCGGTAAGCTGAAGGTTTCTCTAGCCTTTATTGGTTCGTTTGTCAGGAAAACAAAGACCTGATGTGCCCCTGCTATCCAAAAAGGAAACTGAAAAAGATGAAAACACTAAATAAATTTGTATTTATATATACATGTACCTGTTTCAGAAGAGGTGACCTGGAACTTGTCAATATTTACTTTCCTTTTGAAGATCTGAATAAGAAGTTCCAATACAATTACTTTTCCATGATATTCTTACTTAGGAAGCACTGATAGACAAGGAGATCTTTATATTTATTGAATGCCTTATATTTATTGAGTACCAGACACAATGAGGAAATATGGAACGATTTTATCTACATTGTTTACTCAAGATTTCATATAGAGAATTTCATTCACTAAAAATATAGAAATTCATTTATCTAATCTTGTCACCTTGCTTGTTAAATCATATGAAATCTCAAATGGTTGCATATATTTTGACAGATGCAACAATAGCTTCAAAAATGTCCAGATATTTCAAAATATAGGTTCAACTCTCACTCCTGCTAGTTCTGTGAAATTGAGCAAGTTGTTGAAACTAAGCTTAAATTTTCCATCTGCAAAATGGGAAATGCCTACCTCAAAATGGCAGTGTGAAAAGTAAATAAAAGAGCACAATTAAAGAACAATTAAGAACTTAGAACTCTGTAACTGACACAGAGTAAGCACTAAATAAGTGAGGGCTAATATTATTTTTTACTACTATATTTTATTATTGTCCCCTACCACTCTCACTCCTTTACCTTTATTAAAAAGAATTTAACCTTAATCACAAGAGGACGAAGGGGATATTTTATTTATTTGTGTACCCCTAGTTCCCAGAAAGCTGCCTGGCACACAGTGGGTGTTTAACAAATATTTAAGTAAATACTAAAAATGCAGCTTTGAATGATGCAAATTGTTCACTATACAATGTACAGGGGATTTTGCAAATTAGATGATAATGCTAGCTAGAGAAACTTCTGTACACAAGCTAATATGGTAGTATACATATCTGAGGGCTAAAATTCATGTGTTCAAATATTTCAGACACTTTAGAATTTATCAACCTTAGTACCAAATGTGAACCTTAGCAATATTCCTTTTGAAAACCTCTCGTTTGTTATACTAACAGCCATTTCAATTAGAATGTTAAGCATTTTGCAAATGTGTGATTCTTGCTTTTTTATACATATTCTTCCATATTTTAACTAGCTATTTCAAGAAATAATGAAAGGATTAGTTCATTTTAACTACTAATATTCCACAGCATAGCTTAGAAGTTAACAATGTATTGCAACAACTCACCGATTTTCATAACCACATTCATAATTTGAAAAATGCTTCATATTTGGAGAATGTTTTCTGTAAGTTAACAAATAATTTTCATCTATCTAAAGAGACAATTAGCGGCCTTTATTTTGTTGGTGGAGAAACTTTCTTTACCCAAGTCCAGTGTTAGAATATTCATCAAATTCAAGGAAGAAGTGAGAGACTTCTGGGTCACTTGGCCGTGTCTACCTAAGGCAGGATTTAAGAAAACAATACAAGGAGCAATGCTATACAATTTCCCACAATAGAGTTATTTAGGCATCTCTATGAGCGAATCATATATCATGTAATGTACAGTTTTATTAAGTTTTTAGAAATAGTTTCTACATTTACAAAGTACTTAAAAACAAAATCAGAATTAGTGTAGACTGCCATGTAATACAAAGTAAATTACCTTCTAATCCAGAGTTTTAAGAGCAAGTTCAACTTTCCCAACTACAGATTTCTGGGAGAAAAGAAAAGATTTGTATTAAAATTACTAAATGTCTCAGTACAATTTTATAAAATATGAATCATTACTTCAATGACACTGTGGTCAAAAGTGGTCACTCCTTGTCTGCAAATGATTAAAAAATCTGAAGTGTGACCAGGAGTTCTGTAGGTACTGCGTGTTCGCCAGGCCTATCTTTGAGTTGGTGGCATTAGGTTTTATTTATAAAATCAAGTGCTTTTTTGCTAACATGTCTCTTTAGTTTCACAGACTTTAAATGGTTTGGTTTAGAGGTGTGTGTGTGTGTGTGTGTGTGTGTGTGTGTGTATGTGTACTGAAAACTGTTCAGTTATTATTAGTTAACAGTAATCTTTTTCATTTTATAAGGATTTTCACAATAATTCTTCATGCTATTTTGTCTTACTTGCTTCAGAAACTAAATGGGAATATTACTTGAAGTGTGTGATTGTCACAACTGGGGAAAAATTATTAGTTTCCATTAGAAACATATTTTATAATAGAATAAAAATTCATGGAACACAGCCCTAATTAAAGCCAAAATATAGGACAATTTTAGGAAAGCCAATTTAATGTAAATTAGTATATAAAATTTTAAAAACTACTAATTCATTTCTTCTTTGAACTTGCTAATAATGCCTACTCTGAGAAAGACATATTGCTAAATGCTAAAGAGCAAAGAAGAATGATAGAGCTCTTTTCCTAAAGAAAGTCTCAGTTGAATGTGGCTAAATAAGATGCAGAATACGGAGAACTGTGACTTTGAATGAGTCTTTTATTACACGAAGCTGACTCCTAAATAGTCTTCAGGTCATGAGATACTTTGGAAATAGTAATTTCATTGCCATAAATGATAATTTATGCTTCTCTAGTCTATTATTAATGTATATTTTTCCTATCACAGTCACAGTGCTAGGTATGTAATAATCACTCAAGAGAAAATTATTTTAAAGATTTAATTTTTAGTATCCAATGTAAAGCAACTTAATATACTTCTAAGCACATTTATACATTCATCTGTTTTACTATCAATTTCTTGCCACACAAAATCAGTGTGTGTACTAATACTAAATATAATATTTTGTTAAATTCTGAAACTGAAAAGTTGCATGAAGTTTTTGAATGTTTTATAATTTCTCCCTTACAGTTCTACTTCTCTCATTATAGGAATCCCCATATGTTATGTACAAGAAAAATCATGAAATGTTTGAAGGAAATGACAAGTATGAAGGATACTGTGTAGATTTGGCATCTGAAATTGCAAAACATATTGGTATCAAGTATAAAATTGCCATTGTCCCTGATGGAAAATATGGAGCAAGGGATGCAGACACAAAAATCTGGAATGGGATGGTAGGGGAACTTGTTTATGGGGTAAGCAAATCAATCTATTGAAAATTTACTTACATAAACCTGAAGTTTTTTTTCATGTGGGCACATACCAATTTTTAAATGTCTACTGTTGTCTTTTAAATTTGCAGTTACATTCAAAGAAGCATATATGATGTCAAATGTTTCTCTATTTCATTAATAATGCAATTTCCAAACAATGGGAGAAACCAATACTTGATAATTTCAAAAAGATAAAAATTCAGAATACAATGTCCTATTTTATAAAAAATAACACTGACTTCAGTATCTGCCATGATTATTCTCTTAAGCCTGATGCTGTTATACAATAGACATGTTGTTTTGAGAACTATTTTGAGAGTTACTTATATCCCTGTTGGTTGTATTTACTGGTAAATATATTTTAAGTTATTGGTGAAGCAATCAGTAAACTATTTTAACATATATTAAAGTATTCACCAATAATGTGAAGTTCTTACAACTCTGCTGAACACAGTAAATTTAAACTTAATGCAACAACATCATTTTTTCCTACACAACAAAACACAAAAGCTAGAATTTATTCCATAATGGGCTTCACATGAAATCATGTCATGCCCTTCCCTTTGAGTTCACAAGATATTGAGTGTATATATCGAAAGCCAAGGGCAAATTCAATGTAGACATTCCTGCCTGAACCAGAACAAGATTGGTCTCTTCAGGTTCCACTGCAAAGTGTTAAAATCAAGCCAACAGTTATCAAATGCTAGTGAAGGTATGATATTTCCAAAGTCCAGAAAACAAACCTAGAGCTCACAGGAAGCTCTATTCATCAAGTAACCAATAAGTCACATACACTTGAAATGTATTCTGAAACTTTCTATAAGCTAATTCATATTTCACAAATTTCACCTTTAAAACACATTGTCTGATTAATTGTCACAAGACCCCTTTAAAAATAAAGAATTACACAAGAGTCATCCTTCACCAGGAAAGAATAAAGGTAGAACAAGTTAGAGCATAACTGAAATATATAGAGGGGTTCACTTTCCGAGCCAGAACTGCAATTCAATAGTTTTGTGATTCTGCATCCTGCTTTTCAGACTGTGAAGCAATGAACATTCTCCACACAGTCCAGTATGGTAGCTATAACCTCAGCAGCAAGAGGAAATTGTTTGACATTAAAGAGCAATTAGTTTTATATTCATTTGAAAGAACTGCCGACTAGTTAGGTGCCCTAAGTGAGGAAAACTAAATTCGCACTTTTAAAAAATCAAAAAGTACTTTATCACAGGGCTCATCAACAGTTTGATATTGAGTTTTAAGTCCCAAAGAAAAAGGGTTCCTAAAGCATGTGTCCATTGGTAATATTTTAAACTTTTAGACTTTAAATGTGAACATTAACCTAAATGTTAGAACTACACTAATTCATATCCTTCAGAAGACACTATTGAGTATTTGATCTCAAAAACTCATTCTTGGATTACCAATTAATTATGGACCAGATAACTAACCAGAGTTACTTTCTAAGACATTTGTTACATATCTCTCCTCTGGAGTCCTTACCAATTTGGCAGCCCAGGCTCACCCCTTGGCAAGGGTTCTGACCACATTTTATTGGGAGAATATTGTTTAAATAATGAAAACAGGTGATATGAAGAGAGTAACGTAATTAACACCAAAAATTTGTATCAGTAGTACTCGTGTCACAGGCACAGAAAGTCCCAGGCAGTTCTCAGAGAGAGAAGATAACATAATGGTTATTAATGCTTATTCATTCATCAGCCAGCCTGCTAGGGTTTAAATAATCTGATCTTTGCCACTTGAGTTGTCCAGTTTTTTCCCAAAAGGAATCTTTTTCCATGTCTCATACACTTTCCACAGATTTGTTATTTTCCATTCTGGTGTCTGCAAAGTCTTTACTTGTTTCTCAACTACTTTTTTTTTCTTTTTACTGCTAATACTTACATGAAATCCCAGTTTGCAGGGCCCTAAATAAAACTCCATCTATATTCTTATACTCAACAAAGCCAGCAAAATGATTAACTTTGAATCCATTTTTTTTTACTTTACTCTTTGCAAACTTTGTTACTGTAATTTTTAGGGATAGATTATCTGTGAGACAGGCATATGTAATCTCAGCACACCACCAGATGGTTACCCCAAAGCTCAAAACCTCCATGACACTCTCAGGTCCATTCTGCCTGTCACACCTGCACACTGCAGCAAGTTCATTATATGATCTTCTGTGGTACACTGCTCCAGCGCCTTCTTCTGGGCCCCGCTGTACTTGTGTGTGTATAAACAACCCAAGGGATTGTTTTCTCAAAGCAACTTCCATGGCCTTCCAACACCAGAATTACCTGTGGTGTGTGTTAAAATGCTGGTTCATGAGCCTTACTCCAGAGGTCTTTGAGAATCCAAATATTATCAGGTTCTTACAGGAGATATTTCTCACAATTTTGGAAGTCACTGAGAGGTAATGGAACAAGGCAAACACAGCATCTCCAATGTTAGCAGAGAAAACTCAGATGTATCCTCTGTTCACTGGCCTCTTTCAAATCACAAATTTCAGAACTTCAAATGTGTCCTCATTGAACATTGCTGTCACACTATCATCTAATGCTTGCTTTCCATTGCATCTAGTTTTATGTGTTGGAGACTCCTTTATTTCTCTTCATGCTTCTCTACTTTTAAGGCTTACTCTCATTAGTGGTAACTTGTATAAATAAAAAATTTCAGAAGATACTACACATAACATTGTAGTATGTGAAAGGTAGTATTTCAAATCAGTGAAAGAATGCATTATTCACTTATTCCTGCTGGGAAAGCAGGACAATTTTGTAATACATTATCATGCAAAATGCTAGATAAATTATAGAGGGAGCATAGGTACTAGAATAAAATATACGATTGAGATTAATCATGATATGAGAAGGATATTTCTAAGCATGAAACCAATGGCTGAAAACACAAAAAGATAATTTTATATGGCTACAACAAAATTTTAAAACGTATATAATGCAATAAAGTATCATGAACTAAGTAATGTAAACCAAAATTGATGACTGGGGGAATATTAAAAACATATATGAAAAATAATATTTTTAATATTTATTTTAAAACACATAAATTAGTAAGCAAAAAAATGAATACCCCATATGGAAATGGGGCAGATTATGACAAGTAATACATAAAAAGAGTAAAAGTGGCTATTTGTTTTACAAAAAAAATTCAAATCAATACAATGAAATTAGCAAATTGGTGAAGATAGATGAGAATAAAGATACACGGGGTATCCAAGGTTCAAAGCCGAAGGTGCTTTCCCACAGTGCTATTTGCATGATCTTTCTGGAGAAAAGTTGGGCAAAACATGTAACGAACATTAAAAAGATTGTTGTCATTTAGATCAGCAATCCCTTTCTAGAAATTTATTTTAAATAATAAAGATATGTGCGAAGATTTGTCTTCAAAGGTGTTCACATCACCATTATTATAAATTGTGTAAAACTGGAAACAATATAATAAATTGATAAAATAATAAATTGAGTAAATTTTGATGCTTTAACATGATAAAATATTTGCAATCATTAAAACTTATTTTTACTATATATGTTGAAATAACTCATTCTCTTGAGAAAAGGAATTATAAAATATAGTGTTATATATTATCCCATTTTAAAATAAGAAATTAATATTCATAAAACAATGTCTAGTAGGGCATATATAAAGAAAATAATAAGAGTAGGTGAAGGAAATGAAGATAAATTTTCCTAAATTTCTGGTTCTGTTTTTATATACTAATTTTTCTATATCTACTTCATATATCACTGTATAATGAAAATTATACAGATAATAATAACTATGGGGAAATAACCTCTCAGCAATGATTCTCTGGCTTTTGTATTATATGTGGGCATTTGTGATGTGAACTAAGTTTATTCCCACTTGAAAGTGTATGCAATTAATCCTCAGTCACCCAGTGGAAAACGTGACAGCCAGAGTACATTCCCCATGCTAACCCTCCAGTTGCATTTGTATCAAGCTGCTGGCCATTGTATCAATCCAGGGCCTGAGGAGATATAGAGTGAATGTAAGAGTGGCAGCCACTATGTAAGAGCATATATGTCTGTGTTTCAGATTCCATTTCAATGCCAAATATTTTCCATTTAAAATAAATAATCAAAAAACCTTTTTTTATTTGTAGATCATGTAACAATTTACAGTTTTTTCACCACACTTTATTTCATTTGATCTTAGAGATGGCATGATTTAATAGAAGAAGTACAGTTTCAAATTGCAGAGCTGCTATGATGTGTAAAACTCATTTGTCTCAGTTTCATCATCTATAAAACAATGATAAACATAAGATTGTTTATCTCTTTAAGAAGGTTAAGTGAAAAGCCATTCCAAATATTTAAATCAGCATAGATACATAATCCCTCATTAAATGCTCACTATTGTTTTATTAAGGCTTATTTAACAGATAATTGCAATAACACAATGAGGTAAACAGGAAAGAAAATGTCTTCATTTTAGAGATATGGAAAAAGGCTCAGAAAAATTACTCAGAATCACAAAATGAAAATGGAAGCTGGTGTCTTATTAATAATAATATATGAGAATTGAATCCACTGTTTTCCAAAATCGTTTTTAGAAATTGAAAGTAGAAATCAAAGTATGTGAATAGGAAGAAATAAATGTCAGTTTCCAGATTTGCGTGTGTGTGCTGAGTCAAAAAATGTTGTCAAACAATAGGTTTCTTTTATCTCACAAACGCAGACTTTATGATAGGTTTACTCATAACTGGAAAGGAATAAAAAAGAAAAGGATGTTTGAAATTCATAATATTAAGGAATGGCCAAGTAATGAATCAGTGACAACATTCCAAATGAAACAGAAAACACTGCAAAATAGCAGCAATTCTGGATAAGAAATTCAGAAATTCAGCCATATGGAAAAGCTATCGAATATCCTCCTCTGCGCCATCTCAGACCCTTAAAGACTAAGGCAGTTATTTGAATTCAAGTTATTTTTGCTTATGTCTACTCGTTTTCTCTTCCTCTCATCTAATTACTAGCACCAATAAAAATATTCTGTGCAATTAAAGTGACATAATATTTTATGAAAACAAATCTGTTCATCTTTGTATTTATTACTGGCCTTATTTATTGTTGGTATTCCCCAAAAAATGTAGAATAAATACATAACTGGTTAACTTTGAATGGATCAATCCAGTACTACTTGCTTCATGAAATCTATTAACCTACATGTTTTCATGTGTCTTTTCTTTTATAGAAAGCAGAGATTGCTATTGCCCCTCTGACAATCACTTTGGTCCGAGAGGAGGTCATTGACTTCTCTAAGCCCTTCATGAGTTTGGGCATATCTATTATGATCAAAAAGCCTCAGAAATCTAAACCAGGAGTGTTTTCCTTCTTGGATCCTCTGGCCTATGAGATTTGGATGTGCATAGTCTTTGCCTACATTGGTGTCAGCGTGGTCTTGTTCCTAGTTAGTAGGTTTAGTCCATATGAGTGGCACACAGAAGAGCCAGAAGATGGAAAGGAAGGACCCAGTGACCAGCCTCCCAATGAGTTTGGCATCTTTAACAGCCTCTGGTTTTCCTTGGGTGCTTTTATGCAGCAAGGATGTGACATTTCACCCAGGTTAGTTTCAAAACCCTTAAGTTCTTCACCAATTCCACAGTAATTCTAAATATTGTGCATAACATCTCTCTATATGTTCTTTTCCTGGAGGCAGAGCATTGCCTGAAACACAGAAAAACTTTGCAATCCCAAATTAATCTAAATATACTCATAACCGATTTTTCCAAATTAGCACAAAGTATGGATACATAATAAAGATTAATTTCCCAATGGAAAAGTAACATATGGAACCCATCAGAATGCTCAAAAATAACTTTGTATTAATATTTCTTTCAGTGATTACAGATGGAAACTAAATCTAAATTCTTAAGAATAGGAATTTATTTTTATGTTGTCTCCTTTTCAAAATCAAATGTTTTTATTGTTTTGTTCACTTTTGAAAATTAATTTTGAATTCGATTTACATCCCATGTAGCTTAATGGAGATTTCTACCATGGAGTTACCTAAAACCTGAGTTAATATAGTAGGTTCCAGATATACATTGTTCTATCTAATAATCATAAACAAGCTAAGCAGTAGGCGAAGAGTCAGCAACGTAAATACTATATTTGTTTTCCTTATCGGTGGAGTAACGGCTCATATCCATAAGGATGTGTTTCAGTTATGTTTGTCAAAAATGCAGCCAACCTCCTGTTGCAAGAAAAATACCAAATTTCTCTCAGAAAAATAGCTGAAGGCATGAGAAGCTAAGAATTGAATTTAAAGTGATTTATATTAGCATCACAAATATATGTATTTTTAAAGAAATGCTTTCTCAAAAAGAGACATTTTAGTTACAATGCAGTTTGCATTCCTTAAGAACCAGGAACACTATAAATGTGCTTAAATTCCAATAACATAGAAAGTTGAATCAATAATCCTCAAATAATGAAATGAAAAGAAATTAAAGCAAATCAAGTAATAGTTTTATGGGTTTTTAAAAATTTATTTATTTGTTTTTTATACAGCAGGTTCTTATTAGTTATCTATTTTATACATATTAGTGTACATATGTACACTAATCCAATCTCCCAATTCATCCTACCACCACCACCACACTACACACGCTTTCCCCCCTTGGTGTCCATATGTTTGTTCTCTACATCTGTGTCTCTATTTCTGCCTTGCAAACTGGTTCATCTGTACCATTCTTCTAGATTCCATATATATGTGTTAGCATACAGTATTTGTTTTTCTCGTTCTGACTTATTTTACTCTGTATGACAAACTCTAGGTCCATCCACCTCATTACAAATAACTCAATTTCGTTCCTTTTTATGGCTGAGTAATATTCCATTGTGTATATGTACCGCATCTTCTTTATCCATTCATCTGTCTATGGGCATTTAGGTTGCTTCCATGACCTGGCTATTGTAAATAGTGCTGCAATGAACATTGGGGTGCATGTGTCTTTTTGAATTATGGTTTTTTTCTGGGCATATGCCCAGTAGTGGGATTGCTGAGTCATATGGTAATTCTACTTTGACTTTTTTAAGGAATCTCCATACTGTTCTCCATAGTGGCTATATCAATTTACATTCCCACCAACAGTGCAAGAGGGTTCCCTTTTCTCCACACCCTCGCCAGCCTTTGTTGTTTGTAGATTTTCTGATGAGGCCCATTCTAATCAGTGTGAGGTGATACCTCACTGTAGTTTTGATTTTCATTTCTCTAATAATTAGTGATGTTGAGCAGCTTTTCATGTGCCTCTTGGCCATCTGTATATCTTATTTGGAGAAATGTCTATTTAGGTCTTCTGCCCATTTTTTGATTGGATTCTTTGTTTTTTTAATACTGAGCTGCTTGAGCTGTTTATATATTTTGGAGATTAATCCTTTGTCCATTGATTCCTTTGCAAATATTTTCTCCCATCCTGAGGGTTGCATTTTCGTCTTGTTTATGGTTTCCTTTGCTGTGCAAAAGCTTTGAAGTTTCATTAGGTCCCATTTGTTTATTTTTGTTGTTATTTCCATTACTCTAGGAGGTGGGTCAAAAAGGATCTTGCTGTGGTTTATCAAAAACCTTTTGATTTCTTCAGTGATCTCTTGGTTATTTAGTAATGTATTGTTTAGCCTCCATGTGTTTGTGTTTTTATGGGGGTTTTTCCTGTAATTTATTTCTACCCTCATAGTGTTGTGGTTAGAAAAGATGCTTGATATGATTTCAATTTTCTTAAATTTACCAGGGATTGATTTGTGACCCAAGATGTGATCTATCCTGGAGAATGTTCCATATGCACTTGAGAAGAAAGTGTAATCTGCTGTTTTCGGACGGAATGTCCTATAATATCAATTAAATCTATCTGGTCAATTGTGTCATTTAAAACTTGTTTCCTTATTAATTTTCTGTCTGGATGATCTGTCCATTGGTGTAAGTGAGGTGTTAAAGTCCCCCACTATTATTGTGTCACTGTCAATTTCCTCTTTTATAGATGTAAACATTTGCCTTATGTTTTGAGGTGCTCCTATGGTGGGGGCATATATGTTTATAACTATTATATCTTCTTCTTGGATTGATCCCTTGATCATTATGTAGTGTCCTTCCTTGTCTCTTGTAACATTCTTTATTTTAAAGTTTATTTTATCTGATATGAGTATTGCTACTCCAGCTTTCTTTTGATTTCTGTTTGCATGGAATATCTTTCTCCATCCCCTCACTTTCAGTCTGTATGTGTCCCTAGGTCTGAAATGGGTCTCTTCTAGACAGCATATATATGAGTCTTGTTTTTGTATCCATTCAGCAAGACTGTGTCTTGTGGTTGGAGCATTTAATCCATTCACGTTTAGGTAATTATCAATATGTATGTTCCTATGACCATTTTCTTAATTGTTTTGGGTTTGTTTCTGTAGGTCCTTTTCTTGTGTTTCCCGCTTAGAGAAGTTCCTTTAGCATTTGTTGTAGAGCTGGTTTGTTGGTGCTGAATTCTTTTAACTTTTGCTTGGCTGTAAAGCTTTTTTGTGTGTGTGGTATGCGGGCCTCTCACTGCTGTGGCCTCTCCCATTGCGGGGCACAGGCTCCAGATGCGCAGGCTCAGCGGCCATGGCTCACGGGCCCAGCCACTCCGCAGCATGTGGGATCTTCCTGGACCGGGGCATGAACCTGTGTCTTCTGCATCGGCAGGTGGACTCTCAACCACTGCACCACCAGGGAAGCCCACTGTAAAGCTTTTGATTTCTCCATCGAATCTGAGTGAGATCCTGCTGGGTAGAGTAATCTTGGTTGTAGGTTCTTCCCTTTTATCACTTTAAATATATTGTGTCACTCCCTTCTGGCTTGTAGAGTTTTTGCTGAGAAATCAGCTGTTAACCTTATGGGAGTTCCTTCCATGTTATTTGTCATTTTCCCCTTGTTGCTTTTAAAATTTTTTCTTTGTCTTTAATTCTTGTCAGTCTGGTTACTATGTGTCTCGGCATGTTTCTCCTTGGATTTATCCTGCCTGGGACTCTCTGTGCTTCCTGGACTTGGGTGGCTATTTCTTTTACCATGTTAGGGAAGTTTTCAAATAATCTCTTCAGATATTTTCTTGCGTCTTTTCTCTCTCTCTTCTCCTTCTGGGACCCCTACAATGCAAATGTTGGTGTGTTTAATGTTGTCCCAGAGGTCTCTTAGGCTGTTTTCATTTCTTTTCATTCTTTTTTCTTTATTCTGTTCTGTGGCAGTGATTTCCACCTTTCTGTCTTCCAAGTCACTTATCCATTCTTCTGCCTCAGTTATTCTGCTATTGATTCATTCTAGTGTATTTTTCTTTTCAGTTATTGTATTGTTCATCTCTGTTTGTCCTTTAATTCTTCTGGGTGTTTGTTCCTTAATTCTTCTAGGTCTTTGTTAAACATTTCTTGCCTCTTCTCAGTCTTTGCCCCCATTCTTTTTCCAGGGTCTGGATCATCTTCAATATCATTATTCTGAATTCTTTTTCTGGAAGGTTGCCTATCTCCACTTAATTTAGTTGTTTTTCTGGGGTTTTATCTTGTTCCTTCATCTGGTACATAGCCCTCTGCCTTTTCATTTTATCTCTGTGAATGTGGTTTTCATTCTACAGGCTGCAGGATTGTAGTTCTTCTTTCTTCTGCTGTCTGTCCTCTATTGGATGAGGCTATCTAAGAGGCTTGTGCAAGGTTTCTGATGGGAGGGACTGGTGGTGGGTAGAGCTGGCTGTTGCTCTGGTGGGCAGAGCTCAGTAAAACCTTAATCTGCTTGTCTGCTGATGGGTGGGTCTGGGTTCCCTCCCTGTTGGTTGTTTGGCCTGAGGTGACCCAACAATGGAGCCTACAGTCTCTTTGGTGTGGCTAATGGTGGACTCTGGGAGAGCTCAAGGAGTACTTCCCAGAACTTCTGCTGCCAGTACCCTTGTCCCCGCTGTAAGCCACAGCCATTCCCCACCTCTGTAGGAGACCCTCCAACACTAGCAGGTAGGTCTGGTTCAGTCCCTTATGGGGTCACTGCTCTTTCATCCTGGGTCCTGACGCACACACTACTATGTGTGTGCCCTCCAAGAGTGGAGTCTCTGTTTCCCCCAGTCCTGTTGAAGTACTGCAATCAAATCTCGCTAGCCTTCAAAGTCTGATTCTCTGGGAATTCCTCCTCCCGTTGCCAGATTCCCTGGTTGGGAAGCCTGATGTGGGGCTCAGAAACTTCACTCCAGTGTGTGGACTTCTGTGGAATAATTGTTCTCCCATTTGTGAGTCACCCACCTTGTGGGTGTTTGATTTTATTATGATTGCGCCCCTCCTACTGTCTCATTGCAGCTTCTCCTTTGTCTTTGGATGTGGGGTAATTTTTTGGTGAGTTCCAGTGTCTCCTGTCAATGATTGTTCAGCAGTTAGTTGTGATTCCAGTGTTCTCACAAGAGGGAGTGAGCGCACATCCTTCTACTCCACAATCTTGAACAAATCCCCAGTTTTATGGTTTTAAAACCAGGATTAAGCAAATGTTAAGTTAAAACCAACAGGTGTCACTTATATAATAATGGTTAAGAAGGGAGCATTTTAAGCTAGAAATGCCATTGAAAATATGAAATCTTTCCTCATATTAAGAAAATGTTTAAAAATAATTTGTCACAGGAATTTAAAATAGTCTGATGGTCCTGTTGAATGAGATCAATTATGATTATGCTCTGAATTTTTATTCATTTCATTCTCACTTTTCTTCTGCTCACCCACACATCCCTGATAACCAGAGAAATGGTGAAGAGAAAATGTTCTTCTGAGCTCTAGCCTCAGTTTTCAGTGCCGTTACACTGCATATTAACAAGTCACATGCTTTGGTCTCAGGTTGGAAGTGGCAGAGAGAACATTTTTATACCAGTGTGTAAAGAACTTAAGACATAGCTCATCCTCCATTCAGATAAGAAATGGAATATCAATCCAACCAACCAACAAACAAAACATTCTTAACTATGGTTACTTTGAGACCAATCCTAGATCTTCATGTGGTCCAGCCCCACCTTGGCATATGTCCCATCCATCTTGGCATAGCTCTGACTGAAGGTAAAAACAAGTTCTCTCAGAAGAGCATCTGCCATCTTGTATCAAATCTAAGAGCTCACCAATTGTTAAGATGTATTCCTATTTTATGTGCCACAGAGAGAGAAACAGTGCTGCCAATCAAACTATGGTACTGTGTTTTATCTCATCAAACATAGGTTGCATCTTAATTTCAGAGATGTTAAAGTGCAAAAGGGATCAATGAATTTAAGTAAGCATTCCTCTTCTGGACCTGAAGGAAAGGCTTTTGGTTCTACATTTCTGCCAAGTAAGCAATAAAAAGGAAAAGTATTCTAAATGTGGCATTTACATATACATATACATTCAATATAGCAAAAAGGATGTCAGGTGATACAGAAATACTAGAACCATTCTGAGTAGACTATTCAGAACATAAAATGATACTTGTAATTATTATTAAACATACACGGTGAACTGATGGTATTTCTTTTCTTTCTCTATGTTGATTATAGAAAGGAAAATGTTATTATCTTATCCATGTTTAGATCCCTCTCAGGTCGAATTGTTGGAGGTGTTTGGTGGTTCTTTACACTCATCATTATATCATCTTATACTGCTAACCTCGCTGCTTTCCTGACTGTCGAGAGAATGGTCTCCCCCATAGAAAGTGCGGAAGACCTGGCCAAACAAACAGAAATTGCCTATGGAACATTGGATTCAGGGTCAACAAAAGAATTTTTCAGAGTAAGTGGAGGGGAAAACTAAAAAGGAAATGTTCATAACTTTCAAATTCAGGCAATTTTGCCAATTATTATATTATGGGCTCTAGCTATTATAAGTTTTGCAAACATAATGGTAACTGCTATGTTTAAACATAGCAATGCTATATACTTCTACTTGGATTTTATAATCACTTTAATATGAAAAAGCTAATTGATTTATTCACATTGCAAGAGGGACCCTTACTAAGGAAAAGTAACAATAAAAAGGTAAATAAAGCAACTTTATAACATAATTTATCCCAAAGATTCCAATATTCATAATGCTATGAAGATACTTCATCTGGCAAGATTTGGATTTATCTATGCTTTGGAATTTAGAGCATAAAAATGAAAGCATGGCTTTTTTTTTTTTTCAGAATACATTTACCTTGCTGCATTTGAATCCCAAAACCTTAATTTCATGTTATAGTACCTATATGATGTTTATTATTCTATAATCTATTCTGTAACAATGGATTTCAAAGCAATATATTTGCTTTCTCACATGATAATGGGAACAAGAACTACTAAGTTCTAGCACCTTTGTAAAACATTGTATGATATTGCATTTTTGCTGATTTCTCTGCTTTTGCAGATAAAATTGTTCAAACTGATATAATTGCGTTTCACATATGGATATAATTCCTTTGGCTTGCCATTATGATGGCAGGTATTTTGGAGGTTTTGGGGTTTTTAGCTGTTTGTACCACTATAAGGATGAATTTTTTGATCTGTGAATCTCTTTCACTCTGCTTTTACTTAAATCCAGAAATTTCACAATGTGTGATCAGAGATAAGGGTTAATTTTGTGACTTTAGAACCAAAAAACTAAAAAGTGGTCAGGGTGAAATTTTCACAAATATTTCATTAGGTAATTGTGGCATCTTATATTTAACATCAATTGCTTAGAGACTAAATATTTAGTAATTTAGAAGACAAGATATGTTTCACTATTTCCTAAACTATTGTGTAAAATTAATGATAGCCCTTTAAAGTAAATTCACACTTATATACAGTACTTGGGAGATTACATTTTCATTTTAAATGTGTATATTTATTGTTTTCTCACTCAGCTTGGAAATTAAAAACAACAAAAGATACTACTCCTTAAGCCAGCCTTAACTTTCATGCACTTGAATTTCAATAATATTTCTTTTAAAAAAAAATTCAATTATAGTATTCTTAGATATGACAGATGTTTATGTAACACTAAATCAGGAACAAATCACTCAAAAATTGTGCCAAACCCATCATTGCACATTGTTTTCAAAAAAACAGGCAGTGAACACCTTTGTCAACAATTTGGAGCATTACTAATAGATATAAAATTTGTAAATTATAAACTATTTGTAGATTTTTCTAAAACTGTGAATAATAGTCATGACAATATATTTTATTAACAATATTCTATGGATAAACTTAATTAGCCAAATTTTTTAACTTACTGAGTGCATTCCAGTCTCTAAAGCTTAATATAGTAACACATAATTCAGTACTTTTACACATAATTCAGCATAATTTCAGTACTTTTCTGGAAATCTGTGTTTCCACCCAAAAGAAACTAGGTAAAATTTAGTGACTTTGACTAAAAACCATTACGTATATGCATCAAAATAGAATACAAATTTGTGCTATCATTTACATTTTACTGAAAAATGATGACTGATTTTCATGTAAATAAAGCAGATATTTGTAGGTTCATCATTTTGCCTTGAGTGAGAAAGGGGAAAAGAAATATCATATTGATTCCCTGAAAATGTTTCAAAAATAACTCACTGTAGAGCTCTTTGGCATCAAATACATTGAGAATGTTATTTCTAATCTTTAGAGAGTTTTTAAAAACTGCTCAAGTTTGAAAAACTAATGAAGTAGGTAAGAGAATATATTGATTAGAAATATAGGAATAAGGAAAGCTGCTTCCTAGATACAGAGCCTCCCATATAAGTAGTGCAGTCACCATGCCCTGTTTCCTTTCTGTCCCACCCAATTATAGTTTTAAAATTGAAAGAGTGTTATATGTATAGGTATTTATGTTGCAGAATAGTTTGAACCCTAATAGGACAAGAAAATAATTTTCCCTGGAAGCATACTTCCAGGAATACATAAATTTGAGTTCTCTGATAAAAATCTCCTTCATTTCCTACCCTATGTTCTCCCTCCTCTCTCATACATGATCACCTGGTTTAAATAAATCATTTGTCTGATGGGTTGTTGAGGAAACAGAACGTGAAAGGTATTTTTGCCCTTGTCAAAAATGTTTTCTTATAGGAACACAGTAATGGTACATCTATCAGCTTCACTAAACTGCCTCAGGAAATGAATACTCAGCATTTCAAAAAATGTTGCAGTTGTTCTGGAAAAAGAATTAGGCCATGGGAGAAAATTACATCAGAATTCAACTGTTGCCTTGGTTTTGTACCATTATGAAACTTGATATGTTTCATGTTCTGTGCCACTTGTTAAGCATACACATAGAGGCATTTAAAGGAATTTTGTACTTGTCACTTAATGACAGGCTTTTTTAAGGTACTTTTACATTATTATAAACCTGATTTAAACACACTGATTTTCATTTCAGTGCAGATTTTATCCTGTACCTGTTTCAGTCATCAGTGAAATCATGAATGCATAAATGAGATGGATTAGTATTTCAGGGCTTATAATATTATCAAATAGTACATTGATAAGCTCTTACTGGAACATCAGTCTTGCTGCATAAGCTACTAAAAGCAGGAAATAATTTACCTGATAACAATGTAAATATCAACTATAGTGCATGACATTTTTACATATTTTCTATTAAAAGCAGAAATGGCAAAATACTTAATTTTGAAAAATTAAAAGGATGGCACATTTTTAAATCTCCAAGAATTATTATAAGTAATGAAATAATGCTTTAAATAGTTTCCCATGCATTGTGTTTCACAATAAAGATGAAACAAGTAAATCTGAGATCAATTTTATAATTTAAAAAAAATGACATATTATCTTTGCTTATTACCTTGAGCATATTCACTCCCCAAACCTGATCTTTAAGTAGATATCACAATTGAAGATAAAGATGTAAAAGTCCCACTATCACTACATTTATGAGCTTACTGGGTCTGCAAAAATCTCATTTTAGTCTGTCTCATCAAATTTATAAAAATTACCTTATCCTCATTCCTTAGCAAACACCCTCTTACAGTCACAAGTAAGGCACAGCGATATTATTTCCAGTCCTTTACCTCCTGAATTTCCCAACCTCACCCTCTCCACCATGTGGACTTGATTTTATCTAAACCATGCCCCTTTAAATCAGAATCAGAATTTCTAAACATTAACATAGTGACACACCATATAAATTTTTTTTCCAAAAAAGTTTCTTTCATCATTCCTCTATTTTCCACTGAGAGTGTGTATTTTATAATTTCTATTATACATAAGAAACTAAGCATAATTACACTACAGATTCCTCTTTCTTCTGGACTTCAAAGGAATTAATTTAACTTCTTTTGCACTTAAGGTATATGTAATTCAATATATTTAAACAAAAGCAGTAGTAATTTTCCTCACATTAATATTATGGGAATGGACATCTATAAAATATCAATGACCTAAAGGTATTTTATTCCTTTAAAAAAATCATTTGCTTTAATATTATGTTGCATTCTATATAGTTAAATTATCTTCATAATTACCAAGCCCTAAAAATACTCTTTTTCCATTTTGCTGCCTTAGTTTTGTTTAGCTGTTCTCTTTTCCTTTAATAAGATATAAAAAATAAGTAGAAAATTGCCAAGTAACTAGCATGATTCTCATATTCTTAAAATTTTTCAAAAGAAATTTAATTAAAATAATACTCAGATTTTATTTCCTCTGGTTTCAATGTAGTATACATAGTGAAACAAAAAATATAGAGAGAACTCTGTACCTTTTGGGGTGTAACTCTGAAGTGAAGTTATCAATACATTAAAAAAAGTGATTATATGCCTAAATGATGTTGTTTAGCAACACATCTAAATTGAAATCATCAGGATAGATGTTTAAACACAATCAGTATCAAGTGATCCAGAGAGTTGATAATTTTCAGAAATTGGAACTCATTATAAAATGGAGTAGTTCATACTCTAGAAGAGAACTTCATTATCAGAGATGGAGTGAATGAGGCCTGGCAACATGGCCTCCCTAGTGGATCTCATGGTTAAGGGTTCTGAATCCAGATACTCTTCTGTCCTGGTACAATATAGAATCTTTGCAACTGAATTATATTTGGCATAGAATTTTCCTAATGTGAGGATTTCTGTAGCCAGAAGTAACCTGTCATTACCTAAACACGCATACACAAACATATCAGAATCTCTGAATCATGAGATATTTTCAAGTGTTAATAACATAAAAACATTTCAGAGGATACAGGATATCTATTTCCTATCTGATATTTATCACCATTTGAATATACATTAACATAAAATATCTGGGGTTTTTTGGTGTTTAGGTATGCAAATCTCTTATTGTGTGACTTATTATATAGATTTATCGATTACTAAATTTCCACCTTATGAAGCCAAAATTTTGAATACCACTTTTATCAGTTTCTTTGTTCACCTGAGTAATTTGCTTTTACCCAAAACATGTATTCTTAAATTTGCTATTTGAGTACCTTGTTGATTATTGAAGATTTGCTTCTTGTTGGATTCTATCTTCTGGTAAACAAAACAAGGTTGGTGTAAATAAGTATACATGCTACTCAGGATTTGGCCTCATGCTTAGATTTAGGTTTGACTGAAGTCTCCATTACTTTTAATTTGGATCCAGATGTAAAATTTCCACATCTTGCTATTGAACAAAATTAATTGCACCAGATAAAAGTCTGTGTGTATCATTGTATTGTCAAACACCAAACAGGATTTGGGCTTTTCTATTTTATTAAATATATCCTTTGGGGACATTTGAGTTCATTTGGATATATTTTCGTGTGAAAAAATGTGTGGATGAAAAAATCTAATATGAATGCAGATACCAACAAAATGAATTGGATAAATTAAGTCCTGCAAATAATGTAGATACAGCCCAAATAAACAAAAATATAAGTAAGTTTCTTGGCTGAAGTCAAGGGATTAGAAAAACTAACTCTCCAAAATATAAAGTGGGAAAACAAGAATTAGTTCTCTTTAAAGTTTAATATATGTTCTATTTGGAGATTTTGTTAAAAAAGGTCTAAAAATGTTTTGGTGAACCTAGTTTGATTCTTGTTTTATGGATATTTGGTTTGTAAACTAGGGCAGATTTCTCCTCCTCCTTTGGTGTTCAAATACTGACTTGATAGGGACTGCACATTTTGTATACATTTTTTTAGAATGGTTTACATTAAAACTTTGAGGCATGGAAAAATATGAAAATAAAACAATATAACAACTCTCCTTGTTTGTTATAATTCAGTACAACTCTCTCTATGGCTGTCTACATTTTATAATAATAATAAGTTGTTCTTTAAGCAGTTGAGTAAGGTAGTTATTATGACATGAGGTACCTTTTTCTCCAAATATCACTTTTAAATGTCTTTCATTTCAGTGATTTTCTTAAACAGTTGTAAAAGGCAGTTTTCTAATTGTAAAAGAATAATGTTATTATGGCAAATTGCAATTAGAGGGTAACGTAGAAGGTTTTATCCTTATCTCGGTTCAGTCAATATTAACATCTTGTTCCCTTCTTTCCTGTATTTAATTTTATTTTAATGTCCTCCAGAGATCAAAAATAGCAGTGTATGAAAAGATGTGGACCTACATGCGATCAGCAGAGCCATCAGTGTTCACTAGGACTACAGCTGAGGGAGTAGCTCGTGTCCGAAAATCCAAGGGCAAATTTGCCTTTCTCCTGGAGTCCACTATGAATGAATACATTGAGCAGCGAAAGCCATGTGACACAATGAAAGTGGGAGGAAATCTGGATTCGAAAGGCTATGGAGTAGCAACACCCAAGGGTTCTTCATTAAGGTGGGTGGAATAGTATAACAATATAACATGTGTTGTTATAGTATTCCACCTTCCCTGATGTCCCTGAGAGAATTATTTTGTTTTGTGTGTGAACATGGTATGTTTGTTTGTTTTTCTGTTTCTCCATTTCATATTTTTTGCTCAACAATCAGGTATTTTTTTTAATTTTAGAATAATTAATCTTAATTGACATATATCTTTTAAGGCCATATAAAAACCAAACTGGTTGAACACTAGCTGCTTCCAGTGGGCCTAAAACATGGGTAGCATATGCTTCTATATCTCATCAACTTTTTTTGGTCACTGAAATCTACATTCTCATTGTGTCAGTAATAATTCTACATTTTTTCATTATTTTTAAAATTATGCCTGCCTGCTAGTTTCTAAGAAGAAATCAATATCTTCTAGAAAAACACTTTTTTTCCATTTCAATGTTTCATTTATTATGACATCATTATATTTTAGAAAATCCTGAGTTGTATCAATGCTAACTTTGTAAATCACATTTATTTATAAATGCAATTATGATCAGAGGGAAAACTGGGCTCTGATTTTATTGTGCTTACTCAAGTCACACTCTCTACTGTTGCAAAGGGAGTATGGGGTAAGTAAGATCTGTAAAATTAGACCCAGTAACAATTCAAAATTGTTCACACATAGACCCCTAAAATGTGACTTATGACCAAAGCATCACACATGTGGTTGGTAGTCCACATGTGTTAAAAGTGAGACTTTGTTTCTTAAGGAAATGTTGGTAAAATCTGCCCTTTTCACCCTTTTGGTCCTGGACATAGAAAATTCACATGTTTATGTCCAGGAGGCAGAGTTTCCTATTTTCCTTAAGTAACAAAGGCTGCTGTTGAATTGCTGGGGTTAGAGCAAAGCTGGGGTCAAAAGTGACGACTGATAAATTACTCTGGTCTCAGTGCTGCTTAGGAGAGATTCATACAAAGCACAGATTCAAGAAGAAATCAGAATCTTTGCCAAAGGAATTAACCAAGAACCTGGTCTTGAAAAATGATGCTTCTGGTAAGCCTTTGAAAAATGAAGGTAATGAGACCTGTACTGTTGCCTAGTAGGAGTGAAAACAATATAAAATTATATGATTGGTTTCAAAAAGGGAACTGCAATGTACTTTAGGTATATGTGCTGGGTGGGGGAGAAGTTGAGACAGATATAAGAAACAAATACTAGTACTGAAAAGTTTGTGTTAAAACAGTATTTTGTGTTTGCAAACAACACTGTAATAATTCAAGAGGGGTTCCATGGTATGTTCAAAAGGGACAATTTTTAAAGGAGATAGAACAAAATTAGCCAGCAAAGACATATTTGGGTGTAGACTTTGGCAATACTGAAGTCAGGTTTATTTGAACACACTTCGCATATGAAACTGGAGAAATGTGCACGGAGAAAGCCAAACAAATAAATTATCTATGATAAAATTCTACCCAAAAAGATTTCAGCCATTCAGAAACTAAAAGTGACATTAGAATATCTGGTCTTTAAGGGAATATATTGTTTGATGCAACATGAGAAATATGTAATTTCAATGAGGCCATGTGGCAAATAAATCTCTATCGAAATAGTAGTAAATAGAAAGGGAGACAGCAACAGAGGGTGATATGTAGATTACTGTTCACACTATTGATTACATTCACTGGATGTAGCATTTGCTCTTAATTAATTCTCTGTGGATGTAGCTGCCTTGTCCTCTGTCTTGTGTCTACTGATAAAGTCAAGTTCCAGGGACTGAATTTGGCCCTCAGATAACGGTGCGCCTGACTCCCATTGATAGCAAGAGTGTTCCCTCTTAAATGTACCACTTTGTCAAATCCACACTACAGGGATTGTTTAGGGAGAAGCTGAAGGGCTTCATCTGTCTAGAACTGTATAATAATCAGCTATTGGCCTCCCCCTCTTTTCCTGTCTTTCCCTGGATCTTGTTAATGAGGCAATTGTTAAACTCAGCTTCCTGGGTTAAGAGTTTGTTTATGTGCTTTGCTTTATACATGCCACAATTTCCTGAGCAAGCTGGCCCCTGCATGACAAAACCACAGTCATTTTGTCCTGTCTTTGAGAATACTGGAAGTGCACTGAAGGCTAACCACCATTCACCTTACCCACACCTCCTTACTCCCCCACACCCAGCCCAACTAAGCAGGAGGCTCATTAAGCTTAAATTCTCATTCTTATTCAACTAGTAACCTTCTGCTTCAAAAGAGGCAAACTAATATAGAGATGGACCAATAGGCACCTTCTGTATAAATGACGAAATTCAAAATAATTAGTCATCAGAGAAAGATCCAGAAGGCATACCTTCATCAAGAGTATCTTTGAAAACTTTCTGCCTCATTTGTTCAGTTGAGACTAAGTCTGTTTTCCCACAAGATCTATTTTTTTAACCAAGTTTTTAGGTTAATAGTTCTGGACACATTGAGATTGGTCTGTTTCACTGTCATTAATTATGGCTTTCTTCCAAACGCTGCTGTTTTGATTCATTGGGTAATATGAGACTTTATGAAAAGGAAAACAATCTTTCTTCTATATCAGTATAACCAGAGAATGCAGACAAATGACTAGCAATCTTCTGTTGATCTAGGGAGTTTTTTTATTTCCAGATCTTGCTGTTTGGTCAAAATGCTTCAAAATAAATGTCACAGAAAAGAGTAAGAGTAGGATATATAATCAGGATGGAAAATCAAGACTTGGGTCTTTAATGTAGGCTTTAAAACACAGGCAATCAGGATCATCACAGAGCATATATCTGTGACTAGGGTAACAAATATTAAGCCAGTTATGACTGGCACCCATCTTTATGGCAGAGAATGATATTCAAAGCTCCCTATTGTTCAGAGAGACTTTATTTCAGGCTAGCGTTTGCTGGGCATACACATACGTAGCATTTCACAATGTTAAAACCATCAAGCTATCACTAACGGCTCTCAGTAACAGAAGGCCAGTAAGTATGCTCAGAAATTATCAGTATATTATGATTTGACATAGATTCTCCAATTTGTAGGTGATAGAATGATGCCAGGTATATTGATGTTGTTAAACTTAGAATCTATAAATTTTAAAATTGAAAAGGAAAGCAATTATAGGTAAGTGTACCTACAAGCTATAAATATCAGTGAGTCAAAAAACTTAAATCTTACTGGCATTACTATTTGTTTTTCTAAGTTACCTTCCAAAGAATACTTTCAGGTCTTATTGTGAGATAAAAGGGTAAAATCTCTTATGTTTCACTATCTCCCTACTTTGATATTTCTCCTGAATCTTCTTTCCACATACACAATGCCATTTATTCTACATGAACTTCCTTCTCATCCCTTCTCCAGTACCCTTGGCAATCCAAAACTCTTGTAAAAGCCTTCACTGGTTGAGAAATTTTTAAAGGTTGTTTTAAAATAGACACTCTAGATGGCATAGCAATGTGATGTAAAGTTTAGATGAAAGAGGAAGTGTATTTTGACTATACTATCAATACTATCAACTTTACTATGCAACTTTAGTATAGATACGTACTATACTATAGTATTTATTATCTAGGAAAGTTGTATACTTTACTATCAAAAAGTAGTTTCTTTAGTGTATTATCTATATTACACTAGTTTCTAGACTCTCAACTTTACCATGCAATAAGTAAACTGATAAAGATTGTTTAGAGTAAATCATAATTTATTTAATACAGATTTACTGACTATTAAATAGTTGTTAAATGAGAAATACCCCTTTTAAAAATATTCATGGTATCTAGTATCTTCAAGTACTTCCAGGAAACAAAGAAGTGGATCATATCTTCAGAATTTTCCTGGCCTTTGTAAAGATTTTTATGCTTGACCCTAATGTTTGAAGCCACATTAAAAAAACTAGTGTCCTGGGGATTCCATGGCAGTCCAGTGTTTAGGGCTCAGCACTTTCTCTGCTATGGTCCCGGGTTTGATTCCTGGTCGGGGAACTAAGTTCCCACAAGCCGTGGCACAGCCAAAAATTTAAAAATAAAACTAAAAAAGAAAAAACCTAGTCTCCTATACTTTTATTATTCAATAGGGATAATTCCCATTCAAATTTTGCCTTCTCTAAAGATATTTGTGGAACTGTGCCTAATATAAGACAAATGATCTGTCGTTAAAAAAAAAAAAAAAAAGGTCTTTCAAGAGAAAGCAGTTCCAAAAGAACTTGATCAGTGGTTGAAATCTGGGGAAAAGTGAGGCCCATTTGGACTTGCTGATGCCCAGTTACAGGAACCTGTGGCAACAGGAGCTGCTCCTTTGAAACCAGGCACATCATGCTTAGTTTACAACAGGCAACTCAGAGCCCCCACAGCAATATCATGGCAGAGGAGAGGAAGTACTAAGAATGGGAATTAGAATAGCACATCTTCATTGGACTTTTTATTTCGGTATTTAACACAATCACTGACCTCATAAGACACTTGTCTCAAGTCTAAATCTGTATCAGGGTAAGTAGAGTTCTCTGTAGGCCAAATTATGTTTCTTCAACTTGGGAGTATTTTTTTAGGGCAGATGTATTAAATTTAATATTCAAATTCATGTGTGAAAAATATATTATCTTGAAGGAACCACTTTCCTACATAAAATTTCTGAGATATATTTAGTCATAAGTTCAGGTATACTTGGAAAGTTTAGAAAGAAGGAATTTGCTGGATGCTGTGTGTGACACTAAAGTTGTAGTCTGTTTTTGGTATTAGTAACAAGTCAATTGTTAGCACTTAATGTAGACACTAGTAAAACTTAAAAGTACAGAAATTTAAAGTGAGTACTTAATATTACTTAGCAGCACTTGGCCTCAAGTAAATATACTTTTAACTTATTTTCTGGAAATGAGTTGCAGCAGATTAGTACACAAGTATGGGTTTATTTTTAACTATTATGGAAAGGGAGAGATATGTTTTCATTTATGAATATCCCTCATTTTATTAGGTGGCATATTAAAAGATGCTACAGATAACTTAGTTTTTGAACTTAGTTTTTGTGATC